GCCTTCAGTGCCCTGGCCCCACGTCCCCCCTTACAGCTGCTGCCTTGTGAAGGAGAAATCCCAGCCCCTTTTGGGGATGCAGGGCCCCCGGGCTGCTGTTGGGATGGATGCGGAATGTGGGGCTGCACACTCAGCCCCAGGCACCGCAGTGGGGCTGGGGGAGGAAGGAGGGTGAAGCCCCTTTGCTCTGGTTCCCTATGGTCACCTCGGTCACTCTGAAGCCTACCCGAGGCACTGCCAGCCCTGTTAACCCTATCCATCTGGATGAAGGAGCTTGAGGATGCATTTAGGATCCAGGCTGGATTCAGGTGAGGGGGGGGGGACACAGACACATAACCCCCATCATCCTATGGGATACCCCACCGGAATATTCCTCCAGGCTCCATTTGTTGTCTTTTGTCTTTATTTCCACCCGTTTTAGCCACACTTCATCGGTGCCACCACCCCCAAGAGCACCCAACAGCGCTGCCACCCCTTTGGGTGCACCCATGGGTGCCACATCCATGAGCCCACGGTGGCCTCATTCCTGTGGGTCCGTGCTGCACGGCCGCCCGGAATTCCTGCCCCGTACTCATGGATCCATTTATTGGCCACTGGAAGGGACAAGGACAAGGACCCCCGTCTGCCCCTGGTTTTCCCCATTATCCAGGTTTTCCCTGGGTCCCATCCCGGTGTCACCCCATTGCCTCACCCCACTTGTCCCCGGCCAGCACGGGGCAGGCAGCGTGCAGCGTGGCCCCGGCCCCGGCCCCGTTCCGATGCAGGTTCCACCAGAAGAGAGCCGCGTTCTGCCGGATACAGAGGGAATGGACCCGGAATGGGGCCGTGAGCACCAGGATTGGGGTTGGAGACCCCAAAATTGAGCCAGGAGTCCCAAAATCAGGGTTTCCACCCCAAAACAGAGCCTTGAGCACCAGGATTGGGGTTTGGTGCCCGAAAATAGAGCCAGGAGTCCCAAAACTCAGGGTTTCCACCCCAAAACAGAGCCTTGAGCACCAGGATTGGGGTTTGGTACCCCAAAATAGAGCCAGGAGCTCCAGAACTGGGGCTTGGAACCCCCAAAACAGAGCTGCAAGGCCCAGAATTGGGGTTGGAACCACAAAATAGAGCCCTCGAGGCTCAAACTGGGGTTGAAACCCCAGAACAGAGCTGGGAGCGCTGTGATTGGGGGGTTGCCTCCCGAAACAGAGATGGGAGGCCCAGAACTGGGTTGGAACCCCTAAAACAGCACCAGGATCCCTAAAACTGGGGGTTAGAACCCAAAATAGAGCCAGGACCGGAGGTGCTGGGGTGGGAAATCCCTAAAACAGAGCTGGGAGGTCTGAGCTTGAGGCTTGGCCACCCTAAAACAGAGCTGGGATCCCCAAAAGGGGACCTTGGCATTGCCAAAACACAGTTGGGAGCGCTAGGATTGGGGGGTTTGACCCCCCAAACCATGACCAGGATCCCTGGAATTGGGGTTTGCCACCCAGAACAGCGCCGGCATCCCCCCAAAAAAGGGATTTGGGGCTTCCCCCATCACAAATGGGAGCCCCCAAAGCTGGGGCTCCCCCTCACCTTGACCACGGGGACGCTGATGTTCGCGGCGATGAAGGCGGTGGAGCCGCCGGCTTCCACTGCGCTCAGCTGGGGGAGAAGGAGACAGGAGCATGGCCCTTCCCTTCCCCGGGCCATCCCGTGGTCCCCAGCCTCATTCCCCCCCCCATGCACGGCACAAGGTGCAGACCTCATGGGAGAGCCCATAGAGTCCTAGGGTAGTTTGGGTTGGAAAGGACCTCAAGAGCATCCAGTTCCAACCCCCTCAGGGACACCTCACACTAAACCACGGCACCCAAGGCTCTGTCCAACCTGGCCTTGAACACTGCCAGGGATGGAGCATTCACAACTTCCTTGGGCAACCCATTCCAGTGCCTCAGCACCCTCACAGGGAAGAGCTTCTGCCTTATCTCCAACCTAAATCTCCTCTGTTTAAGTCTGAACCCATCACCCCTTGTCCTATCACTGCAGTCCCTGATGAAGGGTCCCTCCCCAGCATCCCTATAGGCCCATCCCTGATGGAGGGCTGTCCTCCCCCACCTCAAACCCTGTTCACTCTGAACCCCACTGAGGACCACGGGCAGCGGTGAGGGGGGGAGGACTCACGTAGATCATGACCGTGGCGATCCTGTTGCCTGACTTCATCCTGTAAAGGGGCTCTTCCTCGACTGCCCCGGGAGGGAGGATGTGGCCTGGTCATTCCCATGGGAATGGGCAGTCCCGTATGGATGCGGCTTGGCCTGGAGGCACCTCAGGCACTACCCATGGGAATCCCTCCCTCTCCCTTCCTTCTTCCTTCCCTCTTCCTCCCTCCTTTCCCAGGAATATCCCAGGCACCAACCCAGGGATCACCACCCCACAGCCCTCCTATCCCATCCCCTCCCAGGACCATCCCAAGGTCCACCTCCAGCAATATCTCAGGGAACATCCCAGGGATCACTATGGGATGTTCACCCTCAGGGACCTCCCTTGGGCACCACCCCAGGATCCACCTCCAGGAGCATCCCCTGGACCACCCCATGGATCATCCCAAGAACCATCCCAGGAGCACCACCCCATGGATCCACCTCCAGGAGCATCCCCTGGACCACCCCATGGATCATCCCAAGAACCATCCCGGGGCACCCACCCCATGGATCCACCTCCAGGAGCATCCCTGGACCACCCCATGGATCATCCCAAGAACCATCCCAGGAGCACCACAAGGACCATCCCAAGAGCACCCCAGGAGCCACCCCAGGGACCACCCCATGGATCCACCCTCCAGGAACATCCCAGGGACCATCCCAAGAGCACCACAGCAGCTACCCCACGGACCACCCCAAAGGCGGAACCATCCCAGGAGCACCCCAAGGACCATCCCAAAGGGCACCACAGGAACCACCCAGAGCATCACCCCATGGACCACCCCATGCAGCCCCCAGGCATCTCCCTGACCGTGGCGTGGTCGAAGTGTGGCTCGTAGTGGCCTCCCAGCCCATAATTGACCACCTGCAGGTACTCGGCATAGGGCGGCCTCAGGTCCAGGCCGGTGACGGCCCCGATGCGCTGCTCCAGCGCCCGCACCACCGGGTCGGCCGTGTCCTTCAGCCAGGCACTGCAGGAGCACCCAACCCACCCATGGCTGCTGTCACCCTCGCTGTGGGGTGTGGAGGGGTCTCCCCGGGGTGGCTTCACTGTCACCTTGGTGGTGGCAATGGGGCCGCGATGGTCCCGTTGGCCATAGGGCAAGGGATGCGATGGCTCCTACCTCTTGCTTATCCGGTACTCAGCTTTCTGCTGCTTCTCCCAGAGGCGACCACGGACCTCTGCAGCTGGGGGGCACACGGTGGAGGGGATGGTGCTGCAGGTGGGGACCCCACCACCAAGCAGGGACCCCGGTTGGGGTCCAGCTGGTGGGTTTATGCCAGCACGTCCCGGCCCCGATGTGTCCCACCGGGGTGATGGAAGCGGTGACAGCAGTAGGGTTGGATGCCACCACGTCAAGCGTGGCTGGGAAGTGGTTTAGGTGCATGCGTGGACCTGGTTTCTCCTTTGGGGCAGGCTCAGAAGGAGCCAAACTGGGCTCATCCCACCCTTGGGCTGGCTGCTGAAGGCTTTTGGCTAAGCCATGGCTTAACCCCCTCCTGTCTCTGCATGCCCAGGTTGGTACCCCTGCACCACCAGCTCCTGGGGCACCCTCCTTGAGGTCAAAGCCATCCCTGGGGATGGGGACAGCTCACCCAAGGCCCGGCCAACCTCTTGATGGTCTCAGCCTCGGCATCACTGATGAAATCGTGGTACAAAGCCACGTAGGGCTGGGTCTGGACCATCTCCTTCTTGGCAGGCTGGAGCAGGAGGAAGGGGCTGCCATTGGTCTCATAGGAGCAGACGAGGTGTGGGAGATGCTCCGGGGCTGACTGGGAGAGAGGAGACCAAGGAGGTTGTGAGAGGGGGGGACAGTGGTGGGGTGGGGACCATGGGACCCCTTTGCCATCCCCACCTGCCCCCGTGGGCGCTGGCACAGCTCCTCGTAGGCATCCCGGCTCTGTAGGTGGGTGCCATTGGGACGTCGCAGGGGCTCAGCGCTTCTCCCTGTCCCCTTCTCCAGCAGCTCCTCGTACTTGACCACGTTCCTCAACACCCTGGGGTTACTGGGGTCTGTTGGAGAGGAGGAGTCACCCCAAAGGCCGCGTCCCCATCACCTCCCTTCCCTGGCATCGATCCCAGGGGAGCTATCCCATACTGGGACAAGAATGGGGTGAAGGAGGCTGGTGCCTTGCAGAGGTGATGGGGACAGCCCAAAACCTCTCCCCTCCTCTTGCCACATCCGAGGTTGCCCCACGTACCATAATGGAGAAACTCCCTGGAGAGGCTCAAGGCATGGGAGACGTTTCAGCCTGGATTGGGGGTGTGAAGAGCCCATCAGCACCCCACGGCTTGGCTCTATTGGGCACCACGGGGATGGGGATGGGGCTCGTGGCCGTACCATGAAGTAGGAAGAAGGCGAGATGGTCCAGAGCATCTCCAGGCTGCTCCGGTCCTCCGGGTTCCAGCTGCCGTAGGAGAGGCGGAAGAGGCCGACGGCCTCCTCCAGCCACGCGATGGAGTGGTAATAGTCACCCGTGTCATAGGCCACCTGCGAGGCAGAGCACCTGCAGCTGTCCCCATCCCTTCCCATCCCACTCCATCCCTCCTGCACCATCCTCATCCCGTCCCGTCCCATCTCATCCTTTTCCTTCCCATTCCACCCATCCTGTCCCATCCTGTTCCCATCCTATCCCATCCCATCCCACCCCATCCTCTCCTTGCACCATCCTCCTACCATCCCTTCCCATCTCATCCCATCCTGTCCCCATCCCATCCCACCCATCCCCTCCTGCACCATCCTCATCCCGTCCCGTCCCATCTCATCCTTTTCCTTCGCATCCCATCCCGTCCTGTTCCCATCCTATCCCATCCCATCCCATCCCATCCCATCCAATCCTGTACCATCCGATCCCATCACATCCCCACTCCCATCCTCATCCCATCACTTCATCCTATCCTAATCTCCATCTTCATTCCAATCCCACCTCTAACCCCTTCCCATCCTGTGCCTACCCTGTCTAACCCCATCCCATCCCATTCAATCCCATCCCCATGCCATGTCCTGCCCTCCAATCGCAATTCCTACTCATCTTGTCCCACTGCATCCTGTTGCTTTCTTATTCCCAACCCCATTCCTCCCATGCCATTCCCTTCCTTTCCTGTCCCATCCCCTGGATCCACGCTCCATCCCCATTTCCATCCCCATCTCAGCCTCCGCCTCCATCTGCACCTCCACCTCCATCCCTTCCCATCCCATCCCATCCCATCCTATCTCATCCCTTCCCATCCTATCCCATCCCATCCCTTCCCATCCCTTCCCATCCCTTCCCATCTCATCCCATCTCATCCCATCTCATCCCTTCCCATCCCATCCCTTCCCATCCCTTCCCATCCCTTCCCATCCCATCCCTTCCCATCCCTTCCCATCCCTTCCCATCTCATCTCATCCCATCCCATCCCATCCCATCCCATCCCATCCCTTCCCATCCCATCCCTTCCCATCTCATCCCATCTCATCCCATCCCATCCCATCCCATCCCATCCCATCCCATCCCATCCCATCCCTTCCCATCCCATCCCATCCCATCCCATCCCATCCCTTCCCATCCCATCCCATCCCATCCCATCCCATCCCATCTCATCCCTTCCCATCCCATCCCATCCCATCTCATCCCTTCCCATCCCATCTCATCCCATCTCATCCCATCCCATCCCATCCCTTCCCATCCCATCCCATCCCATCTCATCCCATCCCATCCCATCCCATCCCTTCCCATCCCATCCCATCCCATCCCATCCCATCCCATCCCATCCCTTCCCATCTCATCCCATCCCATCCCATCCCATCCCATCCCATCCCATCCCACCCCACACTGCCCCTCCATCCCAGCTCTGCAGTGACACTCAGAGGACTCTGCCCTCAACAGAAGCCTGGATGAGATCCCCCAGATCCCACCCCTGGCATTCATGGACCCACTTTCACCGCTGGCTTCGAGCTGATCCCAGCTCCAGCCAGGACGCGGGGCCAGGAGCTCTCCCTGGGGCCACCGGCCCAGCTCTTCCCTCCCCACGCCATGAACCAAGGAGAAGCCCCCTTATTCCCCCATCCTCTCCGGGGAGCTGCCCCCGAGGCTCCCCCCCGCACCCGTCCCTATGGAAGCGCCATTCCGGGATGGAAAACCTGCGGCCGTGGAGCAATCCCTCACCTTTCCCACATGGAAGCAGTCGTCGGCGGAGAGGGCCACGAGCCGGCGGGGGCTGTAGAGGGGCGGGCGGGCGGCCCCGGCGCGCTGGAAGACGCCGTTGGCCAAGCCCTTGACGCTGAGCCCGTACACGTCCTGCAGCCGCATCAGCGCCCGCGCCGCCCCGTCCAGGTCCTCGGCGCCCGGCAGCTCCTGCTCCACCTCCTGGAAGCCAGCGTGGAGCTCTGCGGGCAGGGAACGGGTGCGGGGGGCGTGAGGGAGGGGATGGGGGGGGGGGATCGACCTTATGGGTGCTGCTTCATCCCTGGGGGTCTGCATCCTGCTCCTCCATCCCTTCCCCTGCTCCTCCATCCCTTGCCCTGCTCCTCCATCCCTTCCCCTGCTCCTCCATCCCTTGCCCTGCTCCTCCATCCCTTCCCCTGCTCCTCCATCCCTTCCCCTGCTCCTCCATCCCTTCCCCTGCTCCTCCATCCCTTCCCCTGCTCCTCCATCCCTTCCCCTGCTCCTCCATCCCTTCCCCTGCTCCTCCATCCCTTCCTCTGCTCCTCCATCCCTTCCCCTGCTCCTCCATCCCTTCCTCTGCTCCTCCATCCCTTCCCCTGCTCCTCCATCCCTTACCCTGCTCCTCCATCCCTTCCCCTGCTCCTCCATCCCTTGCCCTGCTCCTCCACCCCTTCCCCTGCTCCTCCATCCCTTTACCCTGCTCCTCCATCCCTTACCCTGCTCCTCCATCCCTTCCCCTGCTCCTCCATCCCTTCCCCTGCTCCTCCATCCCTTCCCCTGCTCCTCCATCCCTTCCCCTGCTCCTCCATCCCTTCCCCTGCTCCTCCACCCCTTCCCCTGCTCCTCCATCCCTTCCCCTGCTCCTCCATCCCTTCCCCTGCTCCTCCACCCCTTCCCCTGCTCCTCCATCCCTTGCCCTGCTCCTCCATCCCTTCCCCTGCTCCTCCATCCACTCCCCACCACTCCCCACCACCTCCTGGCTCTCCCCAGGGGACAGAGGGGACCCACACTGAAGCCTCCCCCCATACCCTGGGTGTTCTCGGTGGCCTCATCGCTGTAGATGACATTGGGCCAGTCGGAGTAGAGGCGCTTGATGAGGCCGAAGGCCAGCAAGGGGTTGTCCACCGAGGCCTGCGGGTCCTGGTGCAGCGCCTGGACCTTCTCATAGAACCTACAAGGCACCCATTGGGTGACTGCGAGTGATGCTCCGGGGCAGGGAATGGGGTCTGAGCCCCGCCATAGCTGGGAAACTCCATAGGATCATGGGATGGTTTGGGCTGGAAGGGACCTTTGGAGCCCATCTGGTTCCGACCCCTGCCATGGGCAGACACACAGCATCCACACTGTGAGCATGCCGGAGGGGAGGAGACCCCATCTGCTTTGTCAGCCCCATCCCTAGTGGGGACATGGGGATGTCCCGGGCCATGGCCACATCCCTGCTCCTCAGCCAAGGCGTGGGGTGATCGCATTCCACAGCTTGGACATAGCCAGGGGGGCGCAGGCAGCTTTCCCCATCCACCCACACCCTATGTGGGGTCACCCCAGCCAAGGCCAGGTTGGACACAGGGGCTTGGAGCAAGCTGCTCCAGTGGAAGGGGTCCCTGCCCGTGGCAGGGGTTGGAGCTGGAGGAGCTTTAAGGTCTTGCCCAATCCAACCCGAACCCAAACCATCCCATGATCCTATGATCACATCCGCCAAGGTGGGGATACGTGGGCACCCACATCCCCTATTTATTGGGTGCTGCGTGGGAGGGGTCTGAGCTGGGTTAAACCCCTCTTGCCAGGCAGCACCCACCATTGGGACTGGGGGGATACAGGGATGCTCCCAGCACACCCACCCTTGTGTTAGGAGGACACTGAGATGGTCCCAGCGCACCCGGTGGGGATGGGGGGGACCCAGGGATGCTCCCTGTGCACCCAGACAGGATCAGGACTGTACAGGGATGCTCCCTGTGCACCCAGTGGGGATCAGGACCGCACAGGGATGCTCCCCATGCACCCAGCGGGGATCAGGCCCACACAGGGATGCTCCCATCGCACCCCAGTGGGGATCAGGACCATACAGGGATGCTCCCATCGCACCCACTGGGGATCAGGGCCACACAGGGATGCTCCCCATCGCACCCAGCAGGGATCAGGACCGTACAGGGATGCTCCCATCGCACCCAGTGGGGATCAGGACCATACAGGGATGCTCCCATCGCACCCACTGGGGATCAGGGCCACACAGGGATGCTCCCATGGCACCCAGCGGGGATCAGGACCGTACAGGGATGCTCCCCGTGCACCCAGTGGGGATCAGGACCGTACAGGGATGCTCCCATGGCACCCAGCGGGGATCAGGGCCACACAGGGATGCTCCCATGGCACCCAGTGGGGATCAGGACCGTACAGGGATGCTCCCATGGCACCCAGCGGGGATCAGGGCCACACAGGGATGCTCCCATCGCACCCAGCAGGGATCAGGACCGTACAGGGATGCTCCCATCGCACCCAGTGGGGATCAGGACCATACAGGGATGCTCCCATCGCACCCACTGGGGATCAGGGCCACACAGGGATGCTCCCATGGCACCCAGCGGGGATCAGGACGTACAGGGATGCTCCCCGTGCACCCAGTGGGGATCAGGACCGTACAGGGATGCTCCCATGGCACCCAGCGGGGATCAGGGCCACACAGGATGCTCCCATGGCACCCAGTGGGGATCAGGACCGTACAGGGATGCTCCCATGGCACCCAGCGGGGATCAGGGCCACACAGGGATGCTCCCATCGCACCCAGTGGGGATCAGGACCGTACAGGGATGCTCCCATCGCACCCAGTGGGGATCAGGACCGTACAGGGATGCTCCCATCGCACCCAGTGGGGATCAGGACCGCACAGGGATGCTCCCCATGCACCCAGCGGGGATCAGGCCCACACAGGGATGCTCCCATCGCACCCAGTGGGGATCAGGACCGTACAGGGATGCTCCCATCGCACCCAGTGGGGATCAGGACCGTATAGGGATGGTCCCCGTGCACCCAGCGGGGATCAGGACCCTACAGGGATGCTCCCATCGCACCCAGCGGGGATCAGGACCGTACAGGGATGCTCCCTGTGCACCCAGTGGGGATCAGGACCGTACAGGGATGCTCCCATCGCACCTAGCGGGGATCAGGACCGTACAGGGATGCTCCCTGTGCACCCAGTGGGGATCAGGACCACACAGGGATGCTCCCATCGCACCCACTGGGGATCAGGGCCACACAGGGATGCTCCCATGGCACCCAGCGGGGATCAGGACCGTACAGGGATGCTCCCATCGCACCCAGTGGGGATCAGGACCGTACAGGGATGCTCCCATGGCACCCAGCGGGGATCAGGGCTACACAGGGATGCTCCCATCGCACCCAGTGGGGATCAGGACCGTACAGGGATGCTCCCATCGCACCCAGTGGGGATCAGGACCGTACAGGGATGCTCCCATCGCACCCAGACAGGATCAGGACCATACAGGGATGCTCCCATCGCACCCAGTGGGGATCAGGACCGTACAGGGATGCTCCCCGTGCACCCAGCGGGGATCAGGACCGTACAGGGATGCTCCCCGTGCACCCAGCGGGATCAGGACCGTACAGGGATGCTCCCATCGCACCCAGCGGGGATCAGGACCGTACAGGGATGCTCCCCGTGCACCCAGTGGGGATCAGGACCGTACAGGGATGCTCCCATCGCACCCAGCGGGGATCAGGACCGTACAGGGATGCTCCCATCGCACCCAGCGGGGATCAGGACCGTACAGGGATGCTCCCATCGCACCCAGCGGGGATCAGGACCGTACAGGGATGCTCCCATCGCACCCAGTGGGGATCAGGACCGTACAGGGATGCTCCCATCGCACCCACTGGGGATCAGGACCGCACAGGGATGCTCCCATCGCACCCAGTGGGGATCAGGACTACACGGGGATGCTCCCCGTGCACCCAGTGGGGATCAGGACCGTACAGGGGATGCTCCCATCGCACCCAGCGGGGATCAGGACTGTACAGGGATGCTCCCATCGCACCCAGTGGGGATCAGGACTACACGGGGATGCTCCCTGTGCACCCAGCGGGGATCAGGACCGTACAGGGATGCTCCCCGTGCACCCACCCGGGGTTGGGGGACCCAGGGATGCTCCCCAGGTGCCGGTACCTGGTCAGGCGGCGCAGGCGGGCGCTCTCCTCCCGCAGGTAGGCGCGGAGCCGGCGGAGCAGGCGGCCCTCGGCGCCCATCGCCGCCCGCACGCTCCTCATGGGCGCTGAAGGTCTCTGCCGGAGCGGGCGGCGGCAGCAGCGCCAGCAGCACCCCGAGCCCCAGCGCCCGCATCGGCCCCGCAGCCACCGCTCGGGGGAGCGGGAAGGCTCCGCCCCGGGGGTGGGAAATGGGGGTAAAGGGGAGGGTAATGGGGGGTGCCCCGGATCCGCCACGCTGGCTGCGGTGGGAGGGGGCTGATGGCTCCCATCCGGACTGTCGGTCCCCATCCCGTCCTGCCCCCTCCTCACTGTCCCCATCCCATCCTGCCCGTCCCTGTTCCCATCCGACTGCTCCCATCCCATCCTGCCTCCATCCGGAACGTCCCTGATCCTATTCCATCCTGCTCCCTCCTCACTGTCCCCATCCCGACTGCTCCCATCCCATCCTGCCTCCATCCCGAACGTCCCTGATCCTATTCCATCCTGCCCCCTCCTCACTGTCCCCATCCCATCCTGCCCGTCCCTGTTCCCATCCTGACTGCTCCCATCCCATCCTGCCTTCATCCCGAACGTCCCTGACTCTATTCCATCCTGCCCCCTCCTGCCCATCCCTGTCCCCATCCTGACTGCTCCCATCCCATCCTGCCTCCATCCCGACGTCCCTGACTCTATTCCATCCTGCCCCCTCCTCACTGTCCCCATGCCGACTGCTCCCGTTCCATCCTGCCTCCATCCCGAGCATCCCTGACTCTATTCCTCCTGCCCCCTCCTGACTGTCCCCATCCCGACTGCTCCCATCCCATCCTGCCTTCATCCCGAACGTCCCTGACTCTATTCCATCCTGCCCCTCCTGACTGTCCCCATCCTGACTGCTCCCATCCCATCCTGCCTCCATCCCGAGCATCCCTGACCCTATTCCATCCTGCCCCCTTCTGCCTCGGACTCATCCTGCCTACCCCTCTCCATCCCATCCTGCCCACCCCTGTCCCCATCCCATCCTGAGTGTCCCTGACCCTATCCCACCCTGTCCCCCTCCTGACTGTCCCCATGCTGCCCCCTCCTGCCTCGGGACTCATCCTGACTGTCCCTACGCTGCCCATCCCTGTCTCCATTCTGCCTGTCCCCTTTTGCCTCTCCCACCTTGGACTCCTCCTGCTCGCTGCCTGTCCCCGTCCCCATCCCATCCTGTCCCTTCTTGCCTGTCCCCATCCTGCTTTGGACCCATTCTGCCCGTCCCTGTCCCCCCATCCCCTTCTGTCTCCATCCTGCCCAAGCTCATCCTGCCTGAACCCTCCCGTTGTCCCTATTCTGCCCATCCCCTGCTGCCTGTCCCAGTCCTTCCTCTCCCCATCCTGCCTGTCCCCATCCTACCTCGGACTCCTCCTGCCTGTCCCTGTCCCCATCTTGCCTGTCCCTGTCTTGCCTGCTCCTGTCCCCATCCCATCCTGCCTCCACCCTGCCTGTCCTCACTCACCTCTCCCTTCCTGCCTGTCCCCATCCTGGCTTGGACTCCACGTCCCCATCACTCCACCGTATCCCACACCCCCAGAACTCACCCATGTCCCTCAGTCCTCCATCACTCCCCCCCTCAAACCTCCTTCCCCATCCCAAGAAGTCCCCAAATCCCACAACTTTCCTTGATCCATCCCCCTTCCCACCCCTTTCCTGCCTTCCCATGGGTCCCCTCCATGTCCCCTGTGCTGGGTGTCCAAACAGCAGCGCTGGGATGGGGCGGGAGGCGGTGATGCTCGGGGGCATCCCCATCCTTCCCCAGCGGGGTCAAATCCCATTGGATTTTCCCAATATTGGCTGGATTCACCCCTTTGGGAAGGATTTTATTTGGCAGCAACACAGAGGCATGAGGTCGCTGTCACCATTGGGATGCCACAGCGTGTCCCTATGGAGCAGAACAAACCACCCCAGAGAGATCTGAGCGCTTTTCCCATGGGAATACAGGACAAAGCTCAGCCTGAACAAGGAAAGTGAATAGGACGGGATTAAAAACGGTAAAAACCGGGAATTCTCCCCCTGCCACACGGGAAGGACACGGGAATTGAGATATTTCCAACAGAACCACCACTTCCGGGCATCTTCCCCCAGGGAACCGCCTGCTCTTGGTGGCACCTTCAGCCTTTTTCCTGCTCCCAGGGGAAAACTCCGGATTCCTGATGAAGCAGCAGCATTCCCGGAGCCAGGCATCCCCTTGACACCCCCCCCCCCCCCCCCATCTCTTTGCTGGGTGATTAAAAAGCCAAACGTTCACTAGTAACGAGGTAAAAGCTCCCCGATGCTGCGCATCCCAAGTGTCCGGTGAGGCCCCGGCCCCGCGGCGCTCCGGGATCCAGCGCTCGGGAATGCTGCCCCTGAGAGCCGGCTCCGTAAGGGAGGCACCGCTGCTCCCGGGATCCAGCGCTCGGGAATGCTGCCCCTGAGAGCCGGCTCCGTAAGGGAGGCACCGCTGCTCCCGGGATCCAGCGCTCGGGAATGCTGCCCCTGAGAGCCGGCTCCGTAAGGGAGGCACCGCTGCTCCCGGGATCCAGCGCTCGGGAATGCTGCCCCTGAGAGCCGGCTCCGTTCAGGAGGCACCGCTGCTGCCGGGATCCAGCGCTCGGGAATGCTGCCCCTGAGAGCCGGCTCCGTTCGGGAGGCACCGCTGCTGCCGGGATCCAGCGCTCGGGAATGCTGCCCCTGAGAGCCGGCTCCGTAAGGGAGGCACCGCTGCTGCCGGGATCCAGCGCTCGGGAATGCTGCCCCTGAGAGCCGGCTCCGTTCGGGAGGCACCGCTGCTCCCGGGATCCAGCGCTCGGGAATGCTGCCCCTGAGAGCCGGCTCCGTTCAGGAGGCACCGCTGCTCCCGGGATCCAGCGCTCGGGAATGCTGCCCCTGAGAGCCGGCTCCGTTCAGGAGGCACCGCTGCTGCCGGGATCCAGCGCTCGGGAATGCTGCCCCTGAGAGCCGGCTCCGTAAGGGAGGCACCGCTGCTCCCGGGATCCAGCGCTCGGGAATGCTGCCCCTGTGAGCCGGCTCCGTTCAAGGAGGCACCGCTGCTCCGCTCGCCGCGGCTCCATGTGCCCAGGCTGAAGAGGCAGAAGGCGATTTCCTCCCAGGCGCTCTCAGCACCGCACTCAAACAAGCACCCAAAGAGCCCGCCGGGACACGCAGCCAGGTCCGAGTACCCGGCCGGCCCCTCCCGCAGCACCCATGGGTGCCACCACCCGTCCTGGTCCAGCGGCGAGGGGTTCACGTAGAGGCCCAGATCGCGGCGGCGGTGCCGGTCGATGGGATGGGAGTAGAGCAGCCAGGCGGGCGCGGGGCCGGGGCCGGTGTGATGCGGTGCGGGGAAGCTCACGACGCTGCCCTGGCACCCCCGTGGGGGCTCAGCCAGCACCGGGCACCGCAGCGGGGGCTGGAAGCGCAGCCCGAGGTCGGTGCTGAGCGCCACGGCCCGGCACCCGCGCGGCGCCCGAGCGCTGCAATAGAGCACGGGAACGTCGGGATCATCCCCATGGATTTGGGCGACTTGGCACTCGCCCGTGCGCCGGCCACCGAGCAGGGCACCTTTGTGCCAGCGGCAACCGTCGTCATCGCTGTAAAACACCAGGGAATGCTGCCGCGTGGAGCAGGGCAGCGGCACCAGCCCGCACAGGCGCCTGTGGGATGTAGTAGGCGTACGCCGGCACCACCAAGCGCCCCGAATCCAGCTGGATGCCGTGGCCCGGCCCCACGGCGAAGGTGGCCCAACGGGACAGGTCCGTGCCGATGGCCTCATCCGTCACGTCCCGCAGCGGGCTCCAGGCGCGGCCGCCGTCGGGGCTGGTGGCGAAGCAGAGGCGGGCGGCGCTGCGGCCGCACCACAGCTGGCCCCGCTCCGACCGGCCCCGCTCCACGCAGATGCAGAACAGGAACGTGGTGCCGGTCCTGGAGTCGTAGAGGGGACACGGGCTCATGGTGCGGCGGCCGGGAAGGGTCAGAGCGGAGAGGTCCTGAACCGGGCCCCACTGCGGGAAGGAAAGGAGGGGACAGAGAATCATGGAATCACCCAGGTTGGAAAAGCCCTTTAAGTCCAAGCGTTCCCCATCAGTGCCAAGGCCACCACTGCCCCATGGCACTGAGGCCTCGTCTCCATGGGGTGTGAACCCTTGCAGGGCCGGTGCCTGCAGCCCTGCCCTGGGCAGCCTGTTCCAATGCCTGAGCACCCTCTGGGGCAGGAATTGTTCCTCAGCTCCATCTAAACCTGCCCTGGTGCAGCTTGAGGCCGGTTCCTCTTGTCCCATCCCTTGTTCCTTGGGAGCAGAGCCCAGCCCCTCCTGGCTCCATCCTCCTCTCAGGCACTTGTAGGGAGCCATCAGGTCCCCCCTGAGCCTTCTCTTCTCCACACTGAACCCCCCAGGTCCCTCAGCCCTTCCCCATCACACTTGGGCTCCAGGCCCTGCACCAGCTCCGCTGCCCTTCTCTGCCCCCCTCCAGCACCTCAATGTCTCTCTGGTTGTGAGTGGCCCAGAACTGAACACAGGATCCGAGGTGCAGCCTCACCAGTGCCCAGTGCAGGGGGCACAATCCCTGCCCTGGCCCTGCTGCCGCCCTGGTGCTGATCCAGGCCAGGATGCTGGGGGCTCCCTGGGCACAAGCTGCTCACGTTCAGCTCCATCCATCAGCACCCCCAGCTCCTTTTCCAGCCACAACTCCCCAAACCTGGAGTGTTGCATGGGGTTGGAATGGTTGATTTGGAAAGGACCTTAAAGCCCATCCAGCTCCAACCCCTGCCACGGGCCTGGACCCCTTCCATAGAGCAGCTTGCTCCAAGCCCCTGTGTCCAACCTGCCCTTGAACCCTGCCAGCGATGGGGCATTCCCAGGATACAAGCCATGGGATGCACCCCAACCCCACCCACCACTCCCGGCGATGGAGAGCACCACTTGCTCCTGCAGCCCAGGTTGGTTTTACCTGCACCGAGGGGCCGTGCCGCCGGCCCCGCCGCAGCACCAGGTACTTGGCATCCTCATCCCTGGCTGAGGAACGCTTCTCGGCGAAGGCCAGGAACGTGGCGGCCGATGGGATGTAGAGCAGCGCCGGGATGCGGTAGGTGACCCCGCCTGCCTGCCGGAACAGCGTCTCCCGAGGGAAGAGAAGGGGGGATCCCAATGGTGCTGGCTTGGGGGGGGTCTCCGCGGCATCCCCCTGCTCCTGCAGTGCGGGAAGTTGAGGTGTGAAGGGTTAAATGAGGGTAAAAGGGGGGCGGGGGGGCTCCCTGATGTCCCCCAGGACAGGGATGCGGGGATGGGGCTCACCTTGGGGCAGGAGATGGGCTGGGACATGGTGATGCCCTGGTGCCCTCACTGGGCCCTGAGTGGGGTGGAAGGTGGAAGGGGGGGGGGGTGAGAGTGAAGCCCCTCGGTGGGGTCACACAGTGCTGTCCTCCCCATCCCTCTGCGCCCCTGTGGGGCTCCCCTACTGCCCCCCACCCCAGCACCCATGGCCCACCTGCAGGAACCCCCATTCCCATCCCCTTTAGCATCCCCCAGTGTCCCCAGCCTGGAGTCCCTGTGGCCCCAATGTCCCAATCCCTCCATGCACCCCCAATCCCCCCATGCACCCCCAACATCCCAGTCCCCTCATGCACCCCCAATCCCCCCATGCACCTCCAATGTCCCAATCCCCTCATGCACCCCTCCCTCCTGGTTCCCCCCCCCCATGTCACTGCAACCCAAATCCCCTCCACCCCTGCATGCATGGACCCCCTCTCACCATGCATCACCCCATGAGGGTCACCCGGTCACCCACACTGCACCCCCCTGTCCTCTCCCTCCCACACCCCTGCATGCACGATCCCCCCATCCTCAATACCCAGACCACCCCCCCACGTACCCCCATAGCCCATCTCCCCCATGTACCCCCCCGACTCCCCACCGTGCACCCCTACAGCCCAACTCCTCATATGCACCAATCTCCCCATCATCCCCCCCCATTTCACTGTACCCCCCAATTCCACCCTTCCCCTGCCTGACTCACCCATTTACCACCCTGCACCCCTATATCCCGTACCCCCCTATATCCCATACATATCCATGTACCCCCCCATGCACCCCCATAGCCTGACTCACCCATGCACCCTTCCCCTGCACCCCCACAGCCTGACTCCCCATGTCCCCCCCGTGCACCCCCATAGCCTGACTCCCTACATGCACTGATCCCCTCATACCCCCCAACACCCGGGCCCCCCTGTACCCCTCAGCCCAACTCTCCCCTGCACCCCCAGAGGCCCCTTCCCCTTCGTACTCCTCCATGCACCCCCCTGTGAACCCCTAAATCCCTCATGCTCCAATCCCCCTCAGACCCAAACCTCCCAGTACCCCCCCCCGTGCACCCCCATATCCCGACACCCCCCCCCGTACTTTCTTCCCCCTAAACCCCATAACCCAGCTTTAGCACACACCGATTCCCCCCGCTCCCCTACACCCCCCTATGCACTGATCACTCCCATGTCCCTTGTACCCCCTATACCCCCCCATATCCCCTGTACCCCCGGTACCCCCCCATGTCCCCTGTATCCTACATACCCTTCCCATATCCCCTGTACCCCCTATACCCCTCTATGTCCCCTGTACCCCCCCATGTCCCCTGTACCCCCCCATGTCCTTTGTACCCCCTGTACCCCCCCAGTCCCCTGTACCCCCCCATGCCCCCTGTATCCCCCATGTACCCTGTACCCCCCCATGCCCCCTGTACCTCCCCATGTCCCTTGTACCCCCCTGTACTCTCCCATATCCCCTGTACCCCCTATACCCCCCCATATCCCCTGCACCCCCCATATCCCCTCTACCCCCTGTACCCCCCCATGTCCCCTGTACCCTATATACCCTCCCCATATCCCTTGTACCCCCTATACCCCTCTATGTCCCCCTGTACCCCCCCATCTCCCCTGTACCCTATATACCCTCCCCATGTCCCCTGTACCCCCCTATACCCCTCTATGTCCCCCGTACCCCCCCATGTCCCCTGTACCCCCCCATGTCCCCTGTACCTCCCCATGTCCCTTGTACCCCCTGTACTCTCCCATATCCCCTGTACCCCCTATACCCCCCCATATCCCCTGCACCCCCCATATCCCCTCTACCCCCTGTACCCCCCCATGTCCCCTGTACCCTATATACCCTCCCCATATCCCCCTGTACCCCCTATACCCCTCTATGTCCCCCGTACCCCCCCATGTCCCCTGTACCCCCCGGTACCCCCCCATGTCCCCTGTACCCTATATACCCTCCCCATATCCCCTGTACCCCCTATACCCCTCTATGTCCCCCGTACCCCCCCATGTCCCCTGTACCCCCGGTACCCCCCCATGTCCCCTGTACCCTATATACCCTCCCCATATCCCCTGTACCCCCTATACCCCCTCTATGTCCCCCGTACCCCCCCATGTCCCCTCTACCCCCCAGTCCCCTGTACCCCCCCATGTCCCCTGTACCCCCTATACCCCTCTATGTCCCCCGTACCCCCCCCATGTCCCCCCGCTCCTCACCAGCCGCAGCCTCCGCTCCGCCGTGGCCGCTCCGCCCCGTCCCGCCCCTTCCTGCCCGGTGCCGGGGGGGTGGATGCTGGCTTTGGAGCCGCTTCACGGGGCTCCCCCCCCGGCTTGAGCCGCGGAACGCTCCGGGGATGCTCCGGGACACGTCCAGCGCCCCTGGGGCCGTTTATTGACTAAAAGCACCCAAACCCACCCCAAACCCGTGTCCTTCGGCAAGGGCCCGGTTACAGGAGGCGGGGATGCGGACGGGAGGCGGCGATGGGACAAACGGGCAGAGCAGCGGCCGCACTGGGGTTGTATGGGGAAGCTCCGGGGTCGAGCAGAGACAAGGAGCGGCTTCATCACCCCCCATCGCATAGAAGGGGTTTATACAAACCAAGCCTCTGTTCCCAGCTGGATACAGGAACCGTGTTTGGCCTCAATTCCTAATGGGAAAGGGAAGTGGGAACATTCCGCACACAGCGAGGTTAAAACGGGAGGGAGATGCCTCCTGGTGGAGAAGTCTTCACGCACTGCCCACGGGAAGGGCGTTGAGGTTGCGGGGATGCTTTGACATCAGCATCCGAATAATCTGGGATTCAAGGCCAAAAATCCTGCACTCAAGATTGAAAACAGGGATTAAAAATCCAGGATTTGAGATGGATAAAGCTGGATTTGAGATTAAAAGCCCTGGGATTTGAGATCAAAACCCTTGGCATTCAGGAGTATGGGATTTGAGACTGATAATCTTGGATTAGAGATTAAAAATCTTGGAATTCTAGACTGAAAAAAAAAAGTCAAGAATATGAGATGAAAAATCTGAGATTTAAGATTACCCTGGATTTGAGATTAAACATGCTGAATTTGATATTAAAAAATCTGGGATTTGAGATTAATAACCCTGCATTTTAAGATGGAAAAATTCAGGCTTCAAGAAGAAAGATCCTGAGCTCAGGATTAAAAAATCTGGGATCTGATAATAAAAAATACTGGATACAAGAATGAGATCTGATAATCCTGGATTCAAGGTTAAAAAAAATCTGGGATTCAGGGTGAAAAATCCAGGAGTCAAGACTGAAAAATCCTGGATTTGAGAATATAAATCCTGAATTCAGGATGAAAACCATCCAGGATTTGAGATTATAATCACGGATTCCAATCCAAGAGAGATAACTCTGGCTATGATATAAAGGCTCCGAACTGATGCAGAACAGTTCAGGGGTTCAGGACAAACACGATTCCCTCTGGCCATGTTGCTTTATTGGTGTTCACTGAGCACATTCCCAGCAGCATCCCGGTCACTTGATTTTCCTCTCCATGGCCAGGCTGTCGTGCAGCTTGGATACCTCGGGCTCGTAGGCCTCCATCACCAACGTGCCATTGGTATCGAAGAATTTGGCAATGGATTTGGTGAACTCGGCTTCCCTCTGCTGCTTGGTTCTGCCGCTGATGAACGTCACCTTCAGGGTGTATTTGTCATCAAACCTGCAGCGCCAGGGAAAGCACAGCTTGAGCCTGGCTTCGCTGAGACAACAGCAAGAAGATGAGGTTTAGGTGGAGCTGAGGAACAATTCCTGCCCAGAGGGTGCTCAGGCATTGGAACAGGCTGCCCAGGGCAGCGCTGCAGGCACCGGCCCTGCAAGGGTTCACACCCCGTGGAGATGAGGCCTCAGTGCCATGGGGCAGTGGTGGCCTTGGCAGTGCTGGGAATGGTTGGACTGGGTGAGCTGAAAGGGCTTTTCCAACCTCATTGATTCCATGATTCTGTGAGGAGAAATCCTCATCTTTACTAAGGGGGAAGCTCCCAGGGTGGAGGTTCCCACATGGGCACTAAGAGCTGCAGCATGTGGGTGTTAATGGTAACACAATTAAAGGTTAAATACTCCTCACAGTTATCTCCTCCACACGCACATTTGGTGCTTCCCTGTGATAATATCCTGTGGTGAATATTAATCACTAATCCAGCCTTGCAGTAACTGAAGGGGGCTACAAGGATGCTGGGGAGGGACTCTTCATCAGGGACTGCAGTGATAGGACAAGGGGTGATGGGTTCAAACTGAAACAGGGGAAGTTCAGGTTGGAGATAAGGCAGAAGCTCTTCCCTGTGAGGGTGCTGAGGCGCTGGCACAGGGTGCCCAGAGAAGCTGTGGCTGCCCCATCCCTGGCAGTGTTCAAGGCCAGGTTGGACACAGGGGCTTGGAGCAAGCTGCTCCAGTGGAAGGGGTCCCTGCCTGTGGCAGGGGTTGGAGCTGGAGGAGCTTTAAGGTTCCTTCAACCCAAACCAGTCCAGGATCCTATGAAACTGCCTGGAAAGCCACCAAAGATCATGACTTGGTCACCATTCCTTTGTGGAAAGCCTACATCCCCACTCCACAAACACCAATATTTTCCCTTCATTTTCACTTCATTCCCTTCCCAAAACACAGCTTTGCTGCCCATGGAAGCACAGGCAACCCCAAAGCCATGCTGGTACCTCATTCCCACTAATCCCAAGATACCGTTTGAGACTGGAGGAGAGCTGCCAAACGTCGTCAGGATCCATCCCCGCGGGGTCTTTTCTGTGAGCTACAAGGAAAATGCTCTTTTCTTTATATGAGGTATAGATGGTGAGGATTCCCATCATCACAAAGTATGTGCAAAGGTAACTTAAGGAAACTAAGGAGCTGCAATTGGAAGCAGAAATATGGCAGAGAAATTGGTTGGATCCCCTCAGACACCAGCATTTAACCACCTCCCATGATACCATCGCTCCAAACATGCCAGTTCCTCATGAACATGAGAAATTAAATACTCACTGGGAGATTTTCACCCATCTTTGCCATTGCCCCCAACACAAGAGGGACGTGGAGCTGTTGGAGCGAGGCCAGAGGAGGCCATGGAGCTGCTGCAAGGGCTGGAGCAGCTCTGCTCTGGAGCCAGGCTGAGAGAGCTGGGCTGGGTGAGCCTGGAGAAGAGAAGGCTCCTGAAGGGGAGACCTGAGAGCAGCTCCAGTGCCTGAAGGGGCTGCAGGAAAGCTGGAGAGGGGCTTGGGACAAGGGCCTGTAGGGCCAGGCCAAGGGGAATGGCTTGAACCTGCCCGAGGGGAGACCGAGACGAGCTCTTAGGCAGAAGCTCTTCCCTGTGAGGGTGCTGAGGCGCTGGCACAGGGCACCCAGAGAAGCTTCACTTTGCACGCTCATACCTGATGTGTTGCTTAGGTAAAGAGCAGATATCCCCCCTGTAACCAGACTACGGACAGAATAAATACAAAATCAACCCCAAAACGACCCCCTGAAGCTTTCAATAGCTGATCTTCATTTTGGGATTAACACATCAAAGTGGAGCAGTCTCCACATGGTCTGTGTCTGAGGTCCGGAGAGCCGATCAGCTGCCCAGGAGCTGTGACCTCTCTGATGTGAGCCATGCTGCAAGGCTGGACCCACATTATCTCCCAGATTTCACTGTGTCACACCCAGACAGGCAGGAATTTTGCCATCACATGGAAGCTATTTGATTATCAGCTGATCTCCACACCATGCAAAGTAAAATCCCCCCAGGCTTGAAACTGGGAATACAGAGAAAAAAGGTTTTTGTGCTTTGTGGGGAAAAGAAACCCTTTTTTGGTATAAATGCGAACATCTGTAAAGGATATGATACAACACAAAAGGCAAGAACAGGTTTGGATTCAGGAAAGGGGTGCAGGTAGTCCCAAATCAAAGCTACAATGGCAAAGAGACATGAGATTGTGCAGATGATGAGGCGGCCGTCGATCAGGCGGAAGTTTTCGACGTACTTGTACTTCTCGAGGAGAACCTGAGGGAGAAACACGGAGCCGAGATTGTTTTGTGCTTCTCAGAAATGGGATAAACTGCTTCTGGAATGGATTTAGGTAAACCAGACTCAATTACATGGATAAAATGAGCAGCAGCTTGATGCAAAATTAATATCAGCATCAAGCGTGGTCAAAGGAGGTGATCTGCCTCTCTGCTCTGGTGAGACCCCACTTGCAGCACTGTGTGCAGTTCTGGGGTCCTCAACATAAAAAGGACATGGAGCTGTTGGAGCAAGTCCAGAGGAGGCCACGAGGATGAGCAGGGCTGGAGCAGCTCCTGTATGGAGCCAGGCTGAGAACATTGAGGCTGTTGAGCCTGGAAAAGAGAAGCTGCGTGGAGACCTCAGAGCAGCTTCCAGTGTGTGAAGGGGGGCTATAGGGATGCTGGGGAGGGACTCTTCATTAGGGATTGGAGTGATAGGACAAGGGGTAACGGGTTCAGACTGAAACAGGGGAAGTTCAGGTTGGAGATAAGGCAGAAGCTCTTCCCTGTGAGGGTGCTGAGGCGCTGGCACAGGGTGCCCAGAGAAGCTGTGGCTGCCCCATCCCTGGCAGTGTTCAAGGCCAGGTTGGACACAGGGGCTTGGAGCAAGCTGCTCTAGTGGAAGAGGTCCCTGCCCGTGGTATAGGGCTGGAGCTGGATGATCTTATGGTCCTTTCCAACCCAACCCATTCCATGATTCAATGATCAGGGGTTACAGGCATTACCTTTTGGCAGAATCATCCAAGGAATTTTTCACAGCTGAACCGTCCCATTTGTCAATTTTCACTGGCTTGTCATCTATCTTCCACTGCAACAGCAACAAAAGGAAGTTAAAAACAGAAGTGGCTTTTCATTTCAATCCTGTGTCATGAGCACAAAGATGGGAGACAACCCAGACAACAGCTGCCTGGTTGGGAAACCTGGACCAGAGATGGGAAGGATCCATTGGATCACACAGTCGTGGCGCAGCCACCACCACCTCAGCACCATCCTACCCATTACCTTTATGGATTTAAGCTTTTAAAACCTTATCACAGATAACCCAAAAGTGACTTTTTACATCAGGTTTACTCTAGTTTGCTGCAGAAAGCATCTGTTAGGACTTTACTCTTGCCTTTGAATGCATTCCTGCTCTCCAGCCAAGCTGTGGCAAACACTCTTTGGGGGTTGATGACAGAAGGAAGACTTTCAAGGTTCCTTTAACAATCCAGTACAAGGGGAGAATCCAAATGCACCACAAGAAATGAAGTTTCAGTCCAACCATCCTCCAGAATGAAACCAAAAGTCTCTGCTGCTTTTCTATATCCAGGTTTTCCACAGAAACAGGTCCTTTCTCAGTCATGAAAGTCAGATGCAACAGCTCAGTTCCTCAAAAGGGCTCTTTTTCCCTGGAATGGTATTATTTTTGGTGGCATTACTCATTTTAGCCCCAGTTGGACACACAAGTTTGAGCCCTGTGTGTTATTTCTACCAGTTGAGTGACTGGAGCTCGAATTTTAGCTGCTGTTAGAAGCAATCCTCAACTCCACTCGTGGTATTTCCTGCTCCTGAAGCTCCCATGTTGGATTTATTAACTACCAAAAGAGTTCATTTCCCTTCCCTGGCAAGAGACAGACTGGGAAAGAGCTCTCAGGTCAGGAACTTACAAAGTATTTTATGTGGATCCAGAGCAGGAATTCTTGCTGGATTCTTGCTCCTTGCTCTCTGTCCCACACCACCTGACACTGGAATGGCTGGATAACATCGGTGATATTTAACTGACCCAGATCTCTCACAGAGAACCAGCACTTTAAGGGTAGATGTAAAGCCCACATGACACATGTTTTGACATAAAGCTGTTACTGGGGGACAAAAAGGATCTAATCTTAGGCTATCTGAAACAACGAGCTGAACCAGCAGTTCTTCAGTTCTTATGCAGGCTCCTCGTAACTGAGGCTGTGCTGGTTCAAGACAGAAACAGCTCGACAATCCCAGGGGATTCATGTCAAAGGAACTTGTAACAGGGACACAGTCTGGGACTTCAGCCAGAAGCTTTAGCTCTCCCTTTGCCTTGGTTGAGATGTTCCCCTGAGATTACTTCTCCTTACATGCTGCAGCACTGCAGGGCGGCTGCTCCTGCTTCTCTGGTTCTTCCAGGCTGATCTGCAGGACCAAAGAGCCGGGAGAGGCTGGGATGCTGCACTGGCAGAGATCTGGCTGCTACCACCATGTGCTCACCCTCAGACAGAGGAATCAGAACCCCAGGTTGGAAGGGACCTCAAAGATCATCTGCTTCAACCTTTCCAGGCACAGCATGACCTACACTAGATGCCCAGCACCCTGTGCAGCCCAATCTTAACAGTGTTCATCGTTGGGGAGTCACCACTGCCCCAGGGAGATTATTCCAATGGCTTGTTTTTCTCAGTGGGAAATGTTCTCCTTTTTTGTCCAACTGGAATCTCCCAGCAGTAACTTGTGCCCATCACCCCTGGGCTTTCCCATGGGACTCCTTGTCCAAAGGGAGCCTCCATCTTCCCTGCACCCCCCCTTTACCTCCTGGCACATGGATCAGGTCTCCCTGCGCCTTCTCTTCTCCAGCTGAGCAGTCCCAGCTCTCTCAGCCTTTCCTCACTGCTGCCCAGCCCTTGGACCATCTTTGTGGCCCTTCCTGGGACCCTCTCCAGCCTCCATCACCTCTTGGGGCTGCAGAACAGCCCTGCCTGGCTGTGGAGGGAAGGTGAAGCTGCACCCATGTCCCATGGAGCCTGGCAGATGCAAACACACCTGGCTCCTCTGGCTGGTGTTTTCCAACCAGCTGTTCATTCTGAGCACTTCCAAAGGCTTCAAAACAACACCTCAGGTTTTCATTCCAGCCTGATGGAGGGCAAACCCCCACAACCAGTTCTAAACAGCTTTTCAGTTTGGCTGTTTGGACTCCTTCGGTTTAAAAACCAAGTGGAAGGTTATTACACTTGTCCTGAGCATATCCTGTACTGGATGGGAAGCAGATATGAGGTTCTACAGCTAGAAAGCGGATTTAGCACCCATGTAAGAACAAGGCTTGAAAGGAAAAGCTGAAGTCCAGCCAGTGGTGACCTTACTTCAAACTAAAAAGTGAAATCAGAAATGCAATTTCAGAAAGCCACAAACCCAATCTGGCACCAGGAGTAACGGTGTGGGTGCAGAAGCTGCCTGCAGCAGGCGAGATTCTCCTCTTATCTCCAAAAGCAGGGACAGCAGAACAGCTTTTGCAGCAGACCCTGCAGGCTTGGAGCCACCACCTTCATTTAAATCCCTTTCCAAAGCTCCCTCATAAGCAGGAGGAGGGAAAAATCCTACAGGAGAAATTCCAAGACGCTCACATCATAAAGACATAGCACAAACTTCACTTTATTTTCCCCTCCTACCGCTGCTGTCAGCCTCACTTATGTCAAGTGTAGCCTGCAACATCTTCTGGGGAGCTAGCTTGTCTCTTCAAATGTTGCTCTCAAGTTTATGGTGCACTTTGGGTATTACAATCATAAATAAATCATACAGTAAAAAAAAAGGTTTGCTGTTACTGCAAGAGGAACATCATTGCAGGCTACATAAACTCTTCGAGGGGAATAATGTTTCTGCCTCTGATCTGTGCTTTTTATTACAAGGATGGTGAAGAAGGAACCTCCCTTCCTAAAACTTAAAGAGTCAGAAACGATTCTAAGCAGGACACACAACTCTGCGGCTGAGGGAGGATGAAAGAGCCTCAGCACATGATGCACACCACCTCCCTCGAGGCTCCCAGCTGAGTCCCAACCCACAGGTCTCCTATAAATTCCAAGCTAACAGTGACGTGGCACACCATGAGCCTGGCATAAATAAATGTGGAAGTGGCAGAGGCCAGTGACACCTCACTGCAGGTCCGTTCCCTCCTCGTCCTCCTGAAGGAAGAGCTGTAGCAGACTCCAGTGAGTCAGTGTGGCTGTTCTCAGCTCCAGGTGGCTCAGCCTCTGTCTTGGAGGAAGAAATTCTGGCCCTCACTCTTCCCAGGTTACCACTGCTGCCTGGCTGCACTCACACACAACATCCTCCAGCACTAGAGAGCAGCTCCTGCGGCACAGGAGCAGAGGGAAGTCACAGAGCTGGCAGTCAGCAAGTGGTTTTAGTCCTGGGGCTTGCAAAACCTTCCAAGGTTTTACTGTAGTAGCAGCAGTGTGGTTGGTAACTCGGTGTGTGCCCCATGGGTGAAATCTCCAGCTGTTTGGGAGGACTGGGGTCACTGCTGCATTGGGTGGTCCTGGTTCCTAGAGGCTGGGAGGAGCTACCTGACTACCACAAAACACTTAAAGAACACGAGAAGGACAAAAATTAGGTTAGTTAAATCACAGAGCTCCCTCTGATTTAGCTTACTAGTGAAGTACAAGAAGATACCCTAAACAAGCAACCTGTCCATAGACTTCAAAGCCTTGCCAATAACCCATCATTTCTCTGTCTGAGAAAAGCGTGAACAAGTTATGGACCTAAGGCCACAGTTCTCCAGATAAAACCTCAGCAATATATACACCAGCTCACAGAAATGACTGGAGTTCATTGAAGTCATCCAGGGAGAGGAAATAAAGGCATATAGATCAGTGTGGCGACAGAGGGAAAAGAAGTCAGGACGTCACTGAGTGTGTGTACGTATTTCAGGGAGAAGCCCTGCAGAAACTATTCATGTTTCTCACTGAAGGCTTCAGCTCCTGCACCAAAACTGTGTTTCCTTTACCTACAACTCCTCCTCATCCTGAAATAACCTGAGAATCCATGGAACACGGCAGCAGAATGCCTCCACTGCACGATACTCCCCAGAGTTCTTCAAGTTGAACCACAAAGCGCTTGTCATTTCAAAACCCAACGCTGAGCACATTGCAGAAGAGAGAGCACTATTTCATAAGCACATCTTCCCCTAAAGCATCCTCTCAACAACTTCAACTGCTGCTTTAAAGAAAAACCACCAAGCGCTTAGGGACAGGAAGGATAACGTCACCTTAAACTGAGGCAAGAAAGCTGTAGCCTTTAGAAATTACGGATATACACGTACTGACGAAAAGCAAAGTGTTTTCAATTGCAGGTTTGAAGTTCAATGAAAGATGGCAAATAAACTGCCCCGAATCCTAGACTGGTGTGGGCTGGAAGGGACCTCAAAGCTCATCCAGTCCCAACTCCCTCCCATGGGCAGGGACCCCTTCCACTGGAGCAGCTTGCTCCAAGCCCTTGTGTCCAACCTGGCCTTGAACACTGCCAGGGATGGGGCAGCCACAGCTTCTCTGGGCACCCTGTGCCAGCGCCTCAGCACCCTCCCAGGGAAGAGCTTCTGCCTTATCTCCAACCTGAACTTCCCCTGTTTCAGTTTGAACCCATCACCCCTTGTCCTATCACTGCAGTCCCTGATGCAGAGTCCTTCCCCAGCATCCTTGTGGCCCCCTTCAGACACTGGAAGCTGCTCTGAGCTTCTCCAGGCTCAACAGCCCCAATGTTCTCAGCCTACCGTAACAATACTAATAACAACAATAATAATACCAATAGCAGCCTCCAGGTCCTCAGTTTCAGCTATCAGACTGCCAACCATCACAAAGAACCACAACCAACACCTAACCACTTCAAACCGAGCCGCGCTCAAACCCCCCCCCCCGACAATCACGCTCCTTTAAAGCCCTGATCGCACACCGGGCTTACCAGCAGGCTCTGCTCTGCCCTGCCTGCCGCGATCAGCACGGCAAGCACCCGGAGCACAGCACGGCAAGCACCCGGAGCACAGCACGGCAAGCACCCGGAGCACAGCACGGCAAGCACCCGGAGCACAGCACGGCAAGCACCCGGAGCACAGCACGGCAAGCACCCGGAGCACAGCACGGCAAGCACCCGGAGCACAGCACGGCTCTCCCTGGAGCCGGCCGCTTGGCAGGCCTCAACCCAGCCACGCTGCCAGGGCAAAGGCAGACCCAAGCCCCCCCCGCCCCTTCCCCAAGGAGCTGCCCGGACGTGCTCGCCCGCAGACCGCTTCCTCCCTCCCTATTTCCCCTCTTCTGCCCTTCACTGCCCGGCTCCTACGAGGAGGCGGCGGCGGCGGCGGAGCTCCCCCCTCACAGCCCCGCGGCTGAGGCCGGGGATGCCCCTCAGCACTGAGGGGTGGCCCCATTGAGGCCCGAGAGGGGAGGCGGCACCGCCGGGTGGGCTCCGAGCGCACAGCAGGGAGCGGGGGGTGTCAGGGCCGGCTGCCGGTGGGAGCGGGAGGGAAGGAGCGGGGCCGGGGCCGCCGCGCGGTACCTTGTCGAGCAGCCCGGTCCTGCCGCCTTTGGCCGCCATCTTGTCTCCGCCCTGACGTGCGCGCTCCTGAGTGGCTGCGCGCGGGGGGCGACGGGAGCGCGCGGGAGGAGCCGTCCCGGGGGCGCGGAAGGGTTTGGGGGGCGGTGTGGGGCCTGGTGCTGAGCGCCATGGGGACCTGCCCGGTCCGGTGCGTGTGGGGCAGGAACTGCGCCTCAGCTCCATCTAAACCTGCCCTGGGCAGCCTGTTCCAATGCCTGAGCACCCTCTGGGGCAGGGATTGTTCCTCAGCTCCATCTAAACCTGCCCTGGGGCAGCTTGAGGCCGGTTCCTCTTGTCCCATCCCTTGTTCCTTGGGAGCAGAGCCCAGCCCCTCCTGGCTCCATCCTCCTCTCAGGCACTTGTAGGCAGCCATCAGGTCCCCCCTGAGCCTTCTCTTCTCCACACTGAACCCCCCAGGTCCCTCAGCCCTTCCCCATCACACTTGGGCTCCAGGCCCTGCACCAGCTCCATTGCCCTGCCCTGGCCCTGCTGCCGCCCTGGTGCTGATCCAGGCCAGGATGCTGGGGGCTCCCTGGGCACAAGCTGCTCACGTTCAGCTCCATCCATCAGCACCCCCAGCTCCTTTTCCATCCCCAATTCCCCAAGCCTGGAGCGCTCCATGGGGCTGTTGTGCCCCAAGTGCAGGACCCTTCACTTTGCCTTGTTGAACCTCATCCCATTGGCCGCAGCCCATGGATCCATCCTGTTCAGATCCTTCAATGGTCCCACCCAACACGGGGTCATCTGCAGACTCACTGAGGGCACACTCGATCCCCTCATCCAGATCACAGAATCATGGAAGGGTTTGGGTTGGAACGGACATTAAAGTTCCAACAGCTCCACGTCCCTCTTGTGCTGCTGCCCCAGAGCTGGATCAGGGCTGCTCTCAGGTCTCCCCTTCACACAGCAGAGGGGCAGGATCCCCTCCTTGAGCTGCTGCTCATGCTCTGGGGGTGCAGCCCAGCACACAGGGGGGGTTCTGGGTTCAAGCGCTCACTGAAGCCGGGTCATGGGGAGCTCCTCCTCACCCAACACCCCAAGCCCATAACCGGTCACCGCCTCCGTGTGCCACCATTCACCAGCGCTCTCTGGGCCTGGCCATCCGGCCTGGTCTCACACACGAGGAAGCCCCTGTCAGGCCGTGAGCAGCCCGAACAGACCGTGCCCCCTTCCCCGCCCCACGCCGCCATCGCTCCGCTGCGCCTCGGTACCCACTGGGAGCTGCGGTCCCCGCATCCCGCATCCACTGTTGCTATGGCGACCGCGCGGCGTGCGGGGCGGTGTGGGGCCCGCTCCGGGAGCGGGGAGAGGCGAGCGGCTGCGGGACCGAGAGAGGGTGCGGGGATGGGGCCGGGCAGTGAAGGTGTGGGCAGGAGGGGGAATGGTGCTGATGGATGGAGCGGAACGGGAGCAGGGAGCCCAGGGAGCCCCCAGCATCCTGGCCTGGATCAGCACCAGGGCGGCAGCAGGGCCAGGGCAGGGATTGTGCCCCTGCACTGGGCACTGGTGAGGCTGCACCTCGGATCCTGAGTTCAGCTCTGGGCCCCTCACTGCAAGAGAGACATTGAGGTGCTGGAGGGGGTTTTAGGAGGTGATGCTCCTCATGTGTGACTGATGTGTGCTCTCATTTGAGCAACCGTATCCTGGGCTGCATCCAAAGGAGCGTGACCAGCAGGGCGAAGGAGTTAATTTGGTATTGAAGACACAATCCAGATGTTTGTGGGATGAATCAGAGAATCATAGAATGGTTTGGGTTGGAAAGCACCTTAAGGTCATCCAGTTCCAACCCCCTGCCATGGGCAGGGACACCTCACACTGAACCATGGCACCCAAGGTTCTGTCCAACCTGGCCTTGAACACTGCCAGGGATGGAGCATTCACAACCTCCCTGGGCAACCCATTCCAGTGCCTCAGCACCCTCACAGGAAAGAACTTCTTCCTTATCTCCAACCTGAACTTCCCCTGTTTCAGTTTGAACCCATCACCCCTTGTCCTGTCACTGCAGTCCCTGATGAAGAGTCCCTCCCCAGCATCCTTGTAGCCCCCTTCACACACTGGAAGCTGCTCTGAGGTCTCCACGCAGCTTCTCTTCTCCAGGCTCAATAGCCCCAATATTCTCAGCCTGGCTCCATACAGGAGCTGCTCCAGCCCCTGCTCATCCTCGCGGCCTCCTCTGGACTTGCTCCAACAGCTCCATGTCCTCCTTGTGTTGAGGACCCCAGAACTGCACCCAGTGCTGCAAGTGGGGCCTCACGAGAGCAGAGCAGAGGGGCAGCATCACCTCCTTCGCCCTGCTGGTCACGCTCCTTTTGATTGTCAGAGCAAAGGTCTAGAGCTTCACAAAGAGGTTTCAGATGCCCACTTCTTCACAGAATTGCTTCTTTCCAGCTACTGAGCTGAAATCCTTGTGCCAGTTCCCTTTATTGTAAGGATAATTGTGCCACTGGGGTGTCCTTTAGAAAACAAAGCTCTTTACAAAGAGAATCTCCATTTAATATAACGAAATGGCTTGTCCCACAGGCTCAGAAGGTTAATGGTAGAGCTGGGAGGTGGATCCAAAGCCAGTGTCACGGGCTCAGTTAATATGAGGAAGAAAAAAGGAAATCTGTTTATAACTGGCAAAGCCTAGAAGCTAAATGTGGCCTCAGTGGCTTCAAGCAATAATTCATTTGGGGTGGGAGCAAATCATAGAGCCACAGCCTGCTTTGGGTTGAAGGGAACTTAAAGCTCCTCCAGCTCCAACCCCTGCCACAGGCAGGGACCCCTTCCACTGGAGCAGCTTGCTCCAAGCCCCTGTGTCCAACCTGGCCTTGAACACTGCCAGGGATGGGGCAGCCACAGCTTCTCTGGGCACCCTGTGCCAGCGCCTCAGCACCCTCCCAGGGAAGAGCTTCTGCCTAAGAGCTCAGCTCAGTCTCCCCTCGGGCAGGTTCAAGCCATTCCCCTTGGCCTGTCCCTACATCCCTTGTCCCAAGCCCCTCTCCAGCTTTCCTGCAGCCCCTTCAGGCACTGGAGCTGCTCTCAGGTCTCCCCTTCAGGAGCCTTCTCTTCTCCAGGCTGCCCCAGCCCAGCTCTCTCAGCCTGGCTCCAGAGCAGAGCTGCTCCAGCCCTCGCAGCAGCTCCATGGCCTCCTCTGGCCTCGCTCCAACGGCAGCAGAAGCAGCAGAGGTTTCTGTTATCCCGTTTTCCCTCTGGTTCACAGGGATCCAGAGGAACGCGCAGGCTCTGCACCAGGTCCTGAACCACCCCCTGGGTTACCGGGATGCCGGAGCACAGCTGGATTGTGTGCAGAAGCCCTGCGTGCCTCGGAAGAAGGTGAAGAGCTGGAGCTCCAAAGGGAGGCCGGTTCTGTGTGGGTCTGGATCAACCCACGTGTGTGGACGGATGCTGAGAGCCTGAGCACGGGCTTGGCCCCACTTCCCAATTCCATCTCCTTGCTGTTCCCTCTCCCTCGTGTGTGGGGAGCCAGCCCTGTCCCAAGGGATGTGGAGGAAACAGCCTCCAAGATGGGTCTGTGGGCAGCCCCTGCATCCGCTGTGGGGAGCTGATCCCGTGCTCCTCCATCAGCTGAAGTTGGTGTCTAACCCACACCGCCCCGGTCCAAAAGAGCCCCCCAGAGACCCTCTCACCCCCCATGCAGCAGCACGGGCCCACGTTGGTTTGGAGATGGGGCAGAAGGGAGACGCTGCAGCCTCCTGGTCTTCCTGGCAGCACGGGGGGATGCTCGGCCCTCCGGCCTGGAAAACAAAAGCCGAGATCCTGGAAGGAATCCTGCTGGCCATGAGGAACACCGGGACCTTCACTGAGGTGCCCTTGGGTATGCTCCTGCTGTCCCAGTATCTCCTGTTGGTGGCACCACAGAGGCAGGAGAAGGACGGGAACGCAACCGTGTCCTTGAGCCCTGGAGTATGGCTGATGGGCATGGAAGGTTCCCCGTTGTAGCATCCTTTCAGCCCACCACAAGCATGGACCCCAATGCTCCAGCTACTGCGTAACGGGGTAAACGCAACACAAGACACTGCTGGGGTCCCTTAGATCCAGATCTGGATGAACCCCATCCCAAACCCAGCTGGCGGGAGAGCAGCCTTGGGGCTAAAGTGGGTTTGCCCCGGAGACGAAGCAGGACCTGGATGCCCAAGCACTGCCCATGTCTTATCCCCATCCTCTTTGCGGTGGTGCAATCCTGAACTGCTGCTGCGAGCAGGACCTGGCTGCTCCCTGGTGCTGTCCCTTTGCCCTGCAATGGAAGAGAAGAGGAAAGAGGCAAAGAAACCACGGCAGTGCCCAGGCTCGAGCTCAGCATTTGGGCGGCTCAAGACCTCCAGGGCCTTTGCTTTTGGGGGTCCTGCATTTCCCATGGGCACCAGGATAGAGCAGGATCCCAGCAGCCACCTCCGTATCCCTGCCATGGTGACATTGCCCACGCTTGGGGATGGGAGGGAGCTGGGGTGCAGGAGGGGAGATGAGATCCTGCAGCCAAGGGGTTGTCCCATTGCCCTGCTCGCAGTCCTGGCCTCTTCCAGCCACCGATTTGCAGGGGAGGAAATCCAAGGCCAGGGAATACCGGGAGGTGCTGAGGCTGATGGAGGAATTCCAGGAGGTGTTTGGGATCCCTCTCCTTGTCCAGGAGGTGCCCAAGCCATCGGATGAGGCACAGATGCCAAAAGCCCTTCCCGCACAGGCTGCATCCAACCAGCTACAGCCAGCAAGGAGGGTGCCCAAGGTTCAGTGGAGCCAGTGCAGGCAGGGCTTGAATAAAGCTTCCCACACCTTGGGCCTCTGGGGTAAATCCCTTCTTTTCCATCGTATTTGGAGCCAGTTTTCCCTTCCTGAGGCTGGAAAACCCAACGTGGTGCCAGGATTCACCCCAGCTTTTCACCTCGGAAAACACGGATACAGCCCCAACAATGCTAATACAGCACATGGAAACCACATCTGCTCAGGGCTGTGCTCTGCAGTACCTGGAAAACCAGGTGGGTGCTCACCCCATCCCTCATGGTGTGGAAGGAAAGCTCCAGCTCCCTCTGAGTGTTCCATGGAGTTCTGACCAGCAGCGATGGTCCACGCCGAGCACAGCTCCTGGTGGGGCTCTGCCTGTGCTGGTTAATGGGTTGTACAAGGACCTGGGAGCCCCACCACTGCCGTGAACGGAGCCAATACGAGCTCCCTGGTTCTCCCACCTCTTTCCCACTGTCCCAGCATCCATCTGTCCCATGGGGAAACCCCATTCCGCCCTGGGGCAGTGGATGGCACCTGAGAGCACGGAGCCCCAGTGCCCCAGGGATCTGAGCTGGGCACAAACCCCTTCTTAACCCCCAGTGTCAGGCCCCATAACCAGCAGCACCAGAGGGGCTGGGACAAGCCATGGAGGATGCTCCCTGCCCGCTCACCTACATGAAACCCACATCATTCTCCTCTCCAACCTCATCCAGCCAGAGGCAAGCATCAACCCAGCGGGGGCAGGCAGCAGGCTCCTGCCTGTTGCCAAGAGCAGCGACGTGATCAGAAACAGGTCAGAGGCACTGTCAGAACCTGGGTTTATTCTGTTTTACCCTCGGCCTTTGCCCTGCACTTCAACACCCTCGCTGCTCTGAGGATGCGCCCGGTACCCGCACGCAGTTGGCACGGTTCTGGTTTGTGACAAGCTCTGTATTCCACGAGCAGGCTTTACTCCCCTGCAGCACTGCGCCGGGCGCCCGCATGTCACCGTCACCCACACATGTAACACATGCAAGTCCACAAGTCCCTTCAGGAACCTCCCTCTGGAAAACGCTCCCAGGAAGCTGAAACCCAAAAGGAGCACTGAAAAGTCTTGGTGCTGAGGAGGACCCGAAAGCACGACGATTGAAAGCAGCACTGGGGGGAAAAGGGAGGAGAAACATCCAGATTTGAGCAGTTTTACAGGAAATACCAAGGAAACCAAGCAAACACCCATCACCAGCTGAAGGCTTTCCTGTTGCATAGTGAAGAGCTAATTCTGGAGCTGATGCTCTGGGGGGGGGTTAGACACAAGGAAGGTTTGTGTTGGATGCGGCGCGTTGGGAGCATCCCAGCTTCGCACTGGTGGCAGGGCCCAGTTCCAGCCACGGGGACATCCCCCAGGGCTCCACGGTGGTGCCACACAGGAGCACGCATCCAACGGCGGTTGGGTGTCATCTTCGGTCCCCTCAATGGGTTGAGAGGGACCAGGTTTTCATGCATGGCTTCCAGGACGAGCTCCTCGTCAACCTTTCCCTGGATCCCGGGAGACAGCAGGGGGGCTGTCGGAGGGTCCAGGCAGAGCATTGCTAAAGGCTTGGGTTTAAATCAGGGATAGTCTTTAAGGCTTCGACCCTTTGCTTTCATTGAGGACACAGAAAGAAGCGCTTGGTCAAGCTCCACATCGTGACGACTGCACGTTACAACAGCAGCTGAGTAAATACTGACACTAGAGAACACCACGATACAATCAGCTGGTACAATCCCCCCTTTTTTTTGGCACTTTTCCTTCATTCCTCTCCCCTCACTGACTCCAAACATGGACCTTTCCCTATGGCTCTTCCCAGGCAAAGAGCTCCAGAAGAAACCTTCCAGAGTCGGTGGCATCTTTGGCAGACCCGCTCCTCCTGTCACCAAACCAACCCCAGTTCCTCCGGTGCTTCCAGCAGGGCGAGCTCTTGACCTGCTTCTTACTTCCCACGAGAGAAGAGAGCTTCACATTCCAGGAGGATGCTCCCCCTGTCCCACTGCCCTCATCCCAGAGAGAAGGTGGCTGCAGAAAGGAGAAGGGTTAGAAATGACTTCCATAGCATCATGGAATGGTTTGGGTTGGAAAGGACCTTAAAGCTCCTCCAGTTCCAACCCCTGCCACGGGCAGGGACCCCTTCCACTAGAGCAGCTTGCTCCAAGCCCCTGTGTCCAACCTGGCCTTGAACACATGTGGTTTCATCTTAGGACCTTTGCAGCTCTTATACTGCATCCACCGTTCAGGAAGAGGTGTTTTCCTTCTCAGCTGGCATCACCTGTGGCAAAGGCAGAGTCATACCTGACCTTTACAGGAGAGAAGAAGGAATTCCTGCTCTTTCAAGTGGAATTACACACAATTAACTTGGTTTTGTGCAAGCTTAAACAGAACATTAAATTGATAACACATTCATCCTAACTTCAAACCACCGCAGGTGTGATCCCAACACTGCCTTGGGTGGATTTCAGCCAAGGGCAGTCATGCTCCTGATACAGCTCAGAAGAAGGGGAGAGGGTTTAGGTGATCCACATGGGAACATCCCATGTTCTCCCCACTCCTTCAGCAACCAGATGGAGAAATGGATGTAGAAACGCAGCCAGCAGCTTCATCAGGCTAAAAACCTCACGAGATCCTGCTCTGATGCTTTCCTGAAAGCTTCCATGATGGGATTGTGATACCACATCCAAAGGTCTTCAACGTGGATGCAATGTATGATGCTTGGGGAGCCAAGGAGCGCTCTCTTGCTCTGGAGCCCAGTGAAGGTGAGGTTAAACCAGAGGCACGAGGGGTTCCATGAAGCTTTTCTTGGTTCCAAGCTCAGGCATCACCTCCTGCCCTTCCACCAGCTTGGATTTAGAAAGAGGGAATGAAGACAGAAACCCCCATAATACTGATGTCATCTGAAGAAGGGATTTAAGACAATTGGACTGTGAAATCCACGTGGAGAGGGGCAAGAAAGGACACATTCCATGTGAAAAGCTGGGCTTTGTGCTGTGGGCTTGCTCAGAGCAGCCCAAGCCTGGATGAATCCCTCAAGCACGGCGAGACCGGAGGAAGCTGTTTCGGGAAGTCTGCTTTGGGCTCAAGGGATCAGCCATGGGGAAGGGACCTGTAAAAGTACTTACAACTCAAAACACACTTGGGAAGTGCAGGGTTTAGCTCAAAATGTTGGGAAAAATCAGCATGAATCCTGAGGAACAATCCGTGGGCTCCCTCGGAGCTTATTTCACTGCGAAGGGCAGATCCAGGCCGATGCTACGTGGAATCATGGAATGGGTTGGGTTGGAAGGGACCTTCAAAGCTCATCCAGTTCCAACCCCTGCAATGAGCAGGGACATCTTCAACTAGAGCAGATTGCCCAGAACCACAGCCACCGGCCCTGGATCAGGGATGGGGCAGCCACAGCTTCCCTGGGCATCCCGTGCCAGTGTTTTCCACCCTCTTCTCTCTGTGCTGCTCTTCTAGAGGAGGTCCAAGGCTCCAATCACTTAAATTCCTTCCAGTTCACAGCTGGATACAGGAGCAGGATTCGGTTTGGGTCTCAAGTGCCTGCTTCAACCAGCACCTACGGAAGCTGTGGCATGTTAGAGGGCATGGAAAGCCATCACCCATGAGCTGCAGCAGGTCAGGCATAGCCAAGCCAGGCCTAGCAAGCCCTAGGTGTGACTTAAACCATCCAGTAGTTGGTGTGTTAAGGAGATACAGAGATAGATATAGAGAGAGATATATATTACGGAATCATTGCTATAAGATTTCTCAAAACCAAAGTGTCAATCTGTTGAAATATAGTATTTAAAATATATAAATTTTATCCATTAAAATATAAGATTTCTTTTTTTAAAATAAAAAAAGGAATCCAGTTCAATTTGGGGAGGAAAAAAGGAGCCAGGGTCCTCACAGGAGAGAAAATCATGGAATGGGTTGGGTTGGAAAGGACCTTAAAGCTCATTCAGCTCCAACCCCTGCCACGGGCAGGGACCCCTTCCACTGGAGCAGCTTGCTCCAAGCCCCTGTGTCCAACCTGGCCTTGAGCACTGCCAGGGATGGGACATGCACTTCCTTGAGCATCCTGTCCCAGTGCCAACCAGTTCCTGTTTGCTCTCTTTAACCATTTAAGGTGGAAGGAGATATTAAACCATTATTTTTAGCTAAAGAAAACTGGGCAATGACCATTCTCTTGGATCAGATCCATCTGCTGGAACACACTTGGGTCTCCTCCCTTCACACCATGGGATCATGGTGAGTTTTCCCCAGCACTGTGCTTCAGCTCCATCCCCCAAACACCCCTTGTCATCCAGCCCATGGGTCAGCAAGATGGTGAACACTGCAACCTCTGCCCTGCACAAGGTCCCTGTGGGCACTGAGGGTCCCCAGTGAATACTCTGCAAGTACTGAGTTGAGCTGATGGTTGTTAAGCCTAATTATCAAATCATTTCCATTGATTAGGAAATAATCAATGGAATTATAATGGGTGATGGGAAAGAGTGATGGAAATATGAAGAGCCCAAGGATGGACCAGTACATGCTCCATCAATTCCAAGCTCTGAGCTACCTCCAGTCCAGGCTGCCCAGCTTCGTGCCTTGAAGCGGAAATCTTTAGTGCATTGCTCACCTGAGCCCTCTTAGTGGTTTGAACCTGAAGACAGGTAGCTGGGAGCAGGGGCAGGGCAGGCTCCCATCACCCTGAGCACCCACATCCACGTGCCTGTGGGCTGGGATCCCATCCCTGCTCTCCCATCCCAGTTCAGCCGGTGCTGGGAGAGGAGGGTGATGCGTCACAGACCTCGGGATGCATCCTTGGGCTGCTTTTGGACGTGTAAGGACAGGTCTGAGGTGTGCTGAGGGATCTCTGAACTGAGCAAGGTACATGTCAGCAGGGAGGAATCCTTCCTGGAATCACTCAGCCAGCGTTTCCCTTTCTAGGTATCAATTTGAATGGGAAGAACAGGAAAATCTTCTTGCCTTGGAAGAGGCAGGGATGGGAGAGAAGCTGCATTTGCTCCCTGTGTCACAGTGCCCACAGCATGGCCCCAACTGCTCTACCTGAGCTCTCTGCTGTGTCACTAACATGAATGTGCAAGTTCATAGAATCCCAGACTGGGTTGGGTTGGAAAGGACCTTAAAGCTCACCCAGTTCCAACCCCCTATGTCCAGCCTGGCCTTGAACACTGCCAGGGATGGGGCAGCCACAACAAGCTCTAAGGCTTTCCAGTAAAATCCTTATTTGAAGTCTTTCTTCACTACTTTCTACTTGCAGAAAGTAACCTGTGAGCTGTGCTGCTGGTGCCCAGGGAGATACATTCACTTGTAAGTACTACGGGTGGATCTGTTTGGTACTTCCTAGAAGAAATACAGATCAACCTCCCTGCTAACAGCCCTCAAGTTGGGTCATTCAACACAGTGACATCCACAACATAAGGAAGACCAGAGGACAGGCAGAAGAGAAGACTTTCTAGGATGGGAAAACCCTACTTTCTGTGAGTAGTGCTCTGACTTCCCTTGGCCTATTGAAGCAGCAAGGCAAGGAGTGGATGAGCTCCTCACGCCTTGCTGCTCACACAACCCAAATGTCACCACCTGCATGCAGAGGTATTCATTGCATATACATTGCAGTGTATTCACGGGGACAACGCACACATCTTTCAGACCAATGGACCAGGAAAACTTGAGGAACTTTTCCCTCAACCCCTCTTGGTTTCGTTCAGCTGAAAGGACTCTGGCTTCGGTCTGAACTGGACCTACAACATCTCACCACCAACAATGAGAAAAGCAACTGTGCGGGTGGAAGTATGACCAAAAATAGGTTTCCTATAGGATAATCTGATAAACCTCATCGTCCTCTAGCAAGGCAACAGCGTCCACCAGTGCTACTTGGCACCCAGCGTGCTCTTGGAGCGCAGCAGGTACCGCTCCACTCTGACTTTCCGCCTCTCCACTGTCCTGTTCTCGCTGTCGAAAAGCCTCTGGAGGTGCAGGGCCAACCTCCTGTCCTCCTCCTCTTGCTGGAGCTTCTGCTCCATGTCCCGCACCTCGGGCACCAAGCCCACCTCTCCCGCCGGGTGCCGCAGTCTCTTGACGGAGCCGTTGTGCTCCAAGTGCTTCGTTTTGCAGCGTCTCTTGCGGCCCCGTCGCAGCGCCGGGGGCTGCTCCCCGAGGAGGTTCTCCACCGAGCTGCAGGTGCTGTTCTGGACGTTGATCAATTCACTGTTGTTCAGGTATTTCAGCTGCTTCTTCCCCGGTGCTTTCAGCGCGGTGCTGTCGGGAAGCGATGCGCTGACACCCAGCAGTCTCCTGCCCAGCACTTTTGAGCCGAGGCTCAGACAGGATTTGTCCATGAAGGCGTTCACCTTTAGGTCAGGGACCTCGGACACTCGTGGGTTGAGGGAGGTGATGTTGGATCTCACGTCTGGATCAGCAGCGCTGTCATCTGTGGTTAAGGCCTGGGCATCTCTGCTCTTCTCATTCCCTCTTCCCAGCTTCGTTTCGCTGATGGAAGGGAGGAAATCCAGCTCGGGGCGAGGGTCTCCGGTGGTGTCGGGTGGAAGGTGATCATCCTGAGCCTGTGGCTGCTCCTTATTGCAACTGCTGGAGCTGGTGATGTCAGGAGCTGTAGCATCTTCCCCGTGCTCTGAAGCCAAGGACGTGAGGGTCGCTTTGGAAAGAGTCTTTTTGATTTGGCGCTCCTGAAAGATCTGCTCCCACTTCTTTAGGATTCTTGGACTGGCCTCGTAGGTCGTTGGCTTCTGCAGGCTCCTGTTCAGGTTCCTCGGGGTGGATTTGATGATGAGGGGGCTCAGGACGCGGCCATCAGGAAGCCTCTTTGGTGGAGTACACGGAGAGCAGACGATGGGCTTGAAGTGGTTGAGCTCCTCTGAGATGCTGTCGTTGCTCTCGGGGCTGATGGATCTCTCTGGCTTGTGCAGGGCTGAGAGGGATGAAACGGGGTTGAGGACCAGGCGCTTCTCTGCTGTCAGGTCTGGGGCTGAGAGGCAGCGGTTGTTCTGGGTGGATGACAGGACCCCAACCAGCGGCGTGGACGTGCTGCTGACCTGCAAAGCAAAGCACCACAGCTCAGACATTTGTCACTGAGGACAAGATGGACAACGTGGGGAGTGGCTGATACACCTGAGAGGTGGCCAATGCCAACCTCATGGAGCCCAACACGGCCAAGTGCAAGGTCCTGCCTCTGGGCTGGGGCAATCTCAGGTACAGCTATAGGTTGGGTGGAGCCTGAGGAGAAGGACTTGGGGTGTTGGGTGAAAAGAAGCTCCTCATGACCCAACTTCAGTGTGTGCTGGGCTGCACCCCCAGAGCGTGAGCACTGTGTGCAGTTCTGGTGTCCCCAGCATAAGAAGGCCATTGAGCTGCTGGAACAAGTCCAGAGGAGGCCATGAGGATGCTCAGGGGCTGGAGCAGCTCCTGTATGGAGCCAGGCTGAGAACACTGGGGCTGTTGAGCCTGGAGAAGAGAAGCTGCGTGGGGACCTCAGAGCAGCTTCCAGTGTCTAAAGGGGGCTACAAGGATGCTGGAGAGGGACTCTTCATCAGGGACTGCAGTGATAGGACAAGGGGTGATGGATTCAAACTGAAACAGGGGAGATTTAGGTTGGAGATAAGGCAGAAGCTCTTCCCTGTGAGGGTGCTGAGGCGCTGGCACAGGGTGCCCAGAGAAGCTGTGGCTGCCCCATCCGTGGCAGTGTTCAAGGCCAGGCTGGACACAGGGGCTTGGAGCAAGCTGCTCTATGGAAGGGGTCCCTGCCCGTGGCAGGGGTTGGAACTGGATGAGCTTTAAGGTTCCTTCAACCCAAACCAGTCTGGGATTCTCTGACTCTATGATACACTTGAAGCGGTGCTGCCATTCAGCAGGACCTTGGCAGGCTGGAGAACTGGGTGGAGAGAAGCCTAATGAGGTTCAACAAGGGCAAGTGGAACTGGATGAACTTTAAGGTCCCTTCCAACCCAACCCAGTCTGTGATTCCATGGTTCTACCACATCCCAGCAAGCAGCCCTGGCAGAGTAGCACTGAAGCTGTTCCAGGCTGAGAACTCACAGCTCCCACGATTGAAGCTGCTGCTGGCTTCCACCAGGACCCCATGGGCCAGAGGCACATTGGAAAGGAGGCAGAGAACAGCTCCAGAGACAGAGATTAGTGCAAGAGCAAGTGCAACTGCATGAGATTAGTGCAAGGATTTACTTCTCCTGTCAGGGCAGAGGGGCCAGTGGTGCTGCCAGGCATGGCACAAGGAAAGGTGGTTGCAAAGGGCATCTCCAAGGAGCGGAAGGCACCCAGTGACTACTGCTGGAAGAGCCTCAAAACCCCCAGTTCAGATTTGCAGTGCTGCTTTGTGATCACTGCTCACTGTGAAGCACTGGGTGCACTGCAAAACATCTCTCACCCTGCACAGGGGAACAGATAGGGTTAATTCATTTGGGCTGCTGGATGCAAGGGGAAACAAGACCAGGCCAGCTCTTTGCATAGTGTGGAAGTACAAAAGGAAGTATTCTAACACGAGAAAAGAAACGAGTTTTGCTCTGTTTCATAGCATCCCACACTGGTTTGGGATGAAGGGACCTTAAAGCTCATCCAGTCCCAACCCCCTGCCACAGGCAGGGACGCCTTCCACTAGAGCAGATTGCTCCAAGCCCCTGTGTCCAACCTGGCCTTGAACACTGCCAGGGATGGAAGTTTAAACCTTTAAACACTGTTGGAAAGAACAGGAGAGGAAGGGGAAGAAAAGGGGATTTTACTCCTAAACTTCTAAAAGATTTCTCTTTAATCAGCCAGGATTCAGCCTTGAAAAGAAACTGAATGACAAAACAAAAGCATCGTGAGGACCCTTCCAACTTCCACATCCTCCAGTGCTGACAAACGACTCCATAAGCTCAGTGATTTCTAACCTGGCAGGGTTTTATTGGCAGCTGCAAGGAGGTGATTTGCTCCCCAGTGATAACACAGCACCGGCACCACCACCAACACTGTGTTTCATATCTCCAGCTTCCTGGTGCTGTGTAACCTCAGATAAGAACATTGACACTTTACAAAGCTTTTGCTTGCAGACGCAGCCCCTACCTTTGTTTTGTTGGCTGGGGCTGATCTCTGCCTGCTCTTTGATCTCTCCTGAATGGTGTCGTTGCAGCTCCGACTCCTTTCCACCTTGGCAGTGAGGTTCCTAAAAAGCAGATGGGGGAAAAACAGGAGATTGTTCATGACCTGAGGAAGAACCAGCCCGACAGCCCTGGCACAGCTGCCTGTGGGGGAGGCATCAGCCTTGGCAGCCAGAGGTGCCTCCTACACCCTCAGGGAAAAGGGATGCAGGAATCTTGGATCAGCCTCAGAATCCTGGGCTGTGCTGAAGGGCTCCTCACTAAACACGCTGACACCTCCACCTACTTGTAGCTAATTGAGGTCGGAGCTAATGAGGATGCTATGGAAACCCTTGTGCTTCTCATGTGGAAACAGGGAGTTACTCAGCTGCTGCCACTGCACCGTGCAGCAGCTTTCACTGGTAAGGGGTTTGGGGCTGCTGTTATCTTTTAACCTCTGTTGCTGGTGAAGGACCCAGAGTTCATCACAAGAACTGTGTACTTTAATGATTTTTTAATGTAATTGCTTAATATCTGAAGATTTTTTACTTTAGTGATTTAATGATGCCAGAGGGAGACTGAGATGAGCTCTTAGGCAGAAGCTCTTCCCCGTGAGGGTGCTGAGGTGCTGGCACAGGGTGTCCAGAGAAGCTGTGGCTGCCCCATCCCTGGCAGTGTTCAAGGGCAGGTTGGACACAGGGGCTTGCAGCAAGCTGCTCTAGTGGAAGGGGTCCCTGCCTGTGGCAGGGGTTGGGACTGGATGAGCTTTAAGGTCCCTTCCAACCCAACCCATTCCATGATTTCTGTCATTTAAATCTACAAGGATTTTTCTCCTCCATGGGATGAACACAAACTTCTTTAACCCCCAGGATTTTATAGCAGGTAGGAGGCAATCAGACTCACTCCATATTCTAACAGTTAGTCTGTTCTACAGTTCCAGAGACAGCATTACTTCCTTGGGATTGGAATACCCATTCTAATTAAAGCATCTCAGGTATCTTTAGAACAACAGTCACAAAACATCTGTAATTCATCATTAATCAACTTGAATTAAGTCTCAGCCTCTTACCCTGAAAGGAAAGCAAAGGAGTAGGCACTGGTCTTGGAAACAAAAGCCGATCGATGTGTCTGCCTGCCCTGGAATGGTTCTTCATTCTCTGAATCCGAGAGACGTTCAGGAAACTGGAGTCAACCAAGGAAGAGTTAACTGATATGTACAACAGAAAGAATCACTTGGAAAATAAAGCTCTTGCAAAGATACCCAAGATGCCAAAAGCCTGATTACACCAACAGGAGGTAAACCGAGTGCAGCGTGTCAGCACGTACGTGTGCTCATGCTGCTCTGGAGATAAACAGCTCAAAGGTTGGCCCCAAAAGCATAATGCACACAGCACCTACGTACAGCTGTTACTGAAGGAAGTTCATTTATTGATCAAGGAACCATGAGATAATCCTACAACAAAGGTACTACAGGACGTTATCCAGTACCCACATCTCAGCCCATCAGTCTTTAAGTGTTAAGAGCATTTCCTGCTGAGTCTCACAACTGAAATGGGAAATAGGCAACCCTCAGCATGAAGCATCTGCTGGACTACACTACTGTACACCTACACGTAGAAGAGTCATGGAGGAATGTTTGTGGCAATATGTGTATGCCTGAAGACTGAGGATACACAATGCACAGTGGTTTCCTCTAGGTTTCTCTGCTGTGTTTGTAAGAGCTGCTCCTCCAGTCACAGTACAGTGGGTAAAAGGGGGTATAAAGCTCTAGAAGAACATCTAGAGTCATAAGAAACCTAAGACAGTTCTCAGTAATGTGTCTATAATCTATTAGCTCATAGTCTTCAGGGGCTATAAAGGTGTCAATCCTGGAAAGCTCCCAGTTTCAAACGGCAGAACAGGAGAAACTCAGTTACTCCAGGTCTTTAAAAAACCCTAGTTCTCGTTCCAGGACTAAGCCTTAGCAGCATTTCACCTACCAGCCAGGGTTTAATGTGAGTAGAAAGAGAAGCCCAAGCTTACTTACACACTCCTGGTTTGCTTTAAGAACTAAAGATTCCTCTTTCTTCTGCTGCTCTTCCATTTTTCTTTTTCCTACATCCCCATCGTCCAGAACGAACTTGTGGATCAGCTCCTCAGAAGCTTTCTCCTCTTGTTGCTTTTCTTCTCTCAGCTGGAAAGAACAACAAAAAAGATGGAGAATTTCAAAGGTTGGAAGTCTTACACCTGGCTGCCAACAAGTGCTCTTCCAAGAGCTTGGTCACATCATTCACTTTTGTGTTGCTACTCCTCTGCTCTAGAATCCAGTCAATGCCTCTCTCACAATATGAGAACGGGAGTTCTCCCAACGTGAAGATGAGTTTCTTTCTACACCACCTTCATGTTCATGCACTCAACACAAGTACCACGGATATTATCTTCTTTGCAAAAGAGCAAAGGCACTGTCAGGTTGAGGGTCTGACCAAGACTGCTCTGCCATGGTATGTTCTGAAACGGAGACAAAAGCTTTTATCTCCTCGTAGACAATCAGACAACCTGTGTGCAACAGGAGTTTCATGCAAGTTGTGACAGCTCAGTTTGAGTCTTCAAACGGCCTGTAATACAAGACACAATTTGGCAGACATAGAGGCAGCATCACCTACATTAAACTTGCATAGATACAGCAATTCGTAGAATCCCAGACTGGTTTGCATCAAAGGGACCTTAAAGCTCATCCAAGTTCCAACCCCTGCCACGAGCAGGGACAAACTCCCCAGTTGCCAGGATTTAAAACCAGCAAGAACCCCCTTTTCCTCCTTCCCACCACCTTTTCCTGATGAACAGGCTCTGTGGTACATCCTTCAGCCAGCACCAGCCCATCATCCCTGGATAACATCACCCAGCTCCCTCCTCACTCATTACCCAGCCATTCACCCAGCTTGTCTCTCATCTCTTCCTCAACTTCAGACTCACAGGGGCCATGAATGGTCTATAACAGATGTGTATCTACACCAGGTCCTTCCTCCTTCCTCCACCCAATGTGGTGTGTAAGTGTGAGACAACAAGCCTGACCTCTGATTGACTGATCTCCATCACGCTGATGAATCACAGTGATGGGGAAGAACACGGGAATCAAATACTTCTCTTTATTCCTCACATTTGAGCGTGGGCACCTCAGATGCTCTGTTATGTTCCCTACCTTTTCACACTGCCATAGTTTCCCTCTTGCCTCGCAGGAGAGCAGTGCTGCAGGATCTGGTGCTCTCCAGTAAAGCTCATGGCATCCACACTGATCCCACAAATCCTCATTCTCCCCAAAATATTCAGTATTTTAATTCCCCGATGAAGAAGGGGGAAAACCCCAAGCATGGGCATGAGGCTGACAAAGAAAAGAGAGTCCATGATGCATTACATGAAAAGCACATTGTGATCGTCAGACTGAGAAGGCCCCAAATCCTACTGACTCCAAACCCCCAGAGACAAGGAAGAGAGAGGTGGGAGGAGAGAAGGCAGAAGCCAGGAACAAAGCCACTCTTTGGCTGATGCTGGGTGTTTGAAGATGTTTCCAAAGACTGGTTTGACTTCTCCTTTCCAGCTGGTTTAAGATGTATCTTTAAATTCCTGATCTATTAATAAGCTCGAGCAATAACTACAACCTGGTGTCTGACTAATATGGATTAGAGCCACATGATGCAGGTATGATGAATACTCTGCTATATGTCTCATGAACAGCATTTCTGCACCTTAAGGAGCCTTTTTTACATACCTGAAAGCCAAGTTCTTTAAGGAGCCTTTTTTAAGGCTGAAAAGCAAGTTCACATTAAGATTTATCACCAAGAAAATACCTCCCAGCACCTACGGCCCTTCCATACTTCCCACCTGGAAGAAAACTGTATGGAAATCTTTCCATTTTATCTATCTTCTAGCAATAATACTTAATTCCCAAATCTAAAGCCACAAGCAAAAGTAACAACATGCAGGAATAGTTAAGGACTGGGGGCAATGGCACAGTTGATGTGAGGCTCAAGCACAAGCTGCGCCAAAGGTGAACAAAGCAACACCAGGACCTCAATCCTACTTAACAGGATACAAGAGAGGAATTTAGGTGCAGAATTCAGGTTCCAAACAAAAGCAAAATCTAAGGATAAGATGTGCACTATTTAAAACAAAGTCATTTGAAGCAGGTCCACGTAAATTATCTCCCAGAGAATTTACTTACAAACAAGGGGACATGAGGACTAGAAGCTGGAACAAACTCCTGGGAAATATCTACCCTGGGAGAAGTTATCCAAGGAGCATCTTTGGAATACTGGATGCAGGACCCTCAGCTGCTATCAGCAGTACAGTGATCAGAAAATGCATTTTAAGCTGTCCGTAGCCTTTCTGGCTACTGGAGCTGCAGGAAAAAAGCTGTACAAGCAATGAATCCTTTTCCACCTTGAGAATTGCTCAAGAAATGCCCATTTCAGGGAACAGCCCTCTTGAACCTAACATTAATTCCCAAAAACTTGGCAAACTCACGTTTGGTATCTTCTCTCTGCTCCATGAACTGTCTGGGTTTGCTTCCTCACTCCCTCAGCCTGCTCCGTCTACCCATGCTGCTGGCAGCTGCATGTCAGCACATGCCTCAGGTAGGAGTTTCCCTCCTGATTACGTGTGATAACAGGCAATAAACAAGCTGCTTGTGGTAGAAAGACAGTTTAAGGGGTGAGTTTGGGGTTTTAGGACACAGGAAGGAGATCCTCCTTTGGGAAAATGCGAAACACAAGGGCACCAAGTGTGATGTATAGAAGAGGGGAACAGAAAATCTCACTGTCCTGCACAGACAGCAAACATTTCATGTCATGCTGAAAGCCAGAGGAGAAAATGACACTAGGAGATGATCCACTTCAAATAAGAAAGTCTCCAGTGCATCCTTATGGGAACTGCTTTGTTTTCAGCTGCAAAAGGCTGGGAAGCAGGTCAAGAGTGAGGCTTTAGAAAGCAACTCACATCTGGGAGACGTAAAAGCTTTGAATGCTCCTCTCCCCTCCTCAGGAGGAGAGCCAGTGTGGGTTATCCCTGTGGAACAGGCAGGAAAGCTGAGATGAAACCTCTTGCCTTGACACACAGAGGTTATAGACAAGCTTTGATTCCCAAACCTGAGTTCTCTCCTCCTTCCTAATTCAGGAGTTCAGAGACACCAAGAAACTCTCACTAAGTGGCAGCAGGCACAATTCCACCTGGAATAAGGCAAAAGTTGCCACTGAGTCAGCAAAATTACCTCGTCCTTTCCTCTTAGGTGATGATTCAAAGCTCCTTCAGATGAGGTTCAGCAAAAAGGAGTTGAAATTGCAAGGGAAAGAAACCTACATCCCATCTGCAGTGAGCAAAAGGGGAAGGCATCAGGATGAACAGGAAGGAGACAAAACCAGGCCCAAGATGTCAGAAACATGTTAAAAATGTTTCCTTTTGCCTGGTGGAGAAGCGAAAGGTGTTGGCACACGGTAGCTTTTAGCTGAAATCAAATGATGGCTGCAGAAACCTCTTCAGCTGGATCCTCATCATGCTCCAAATGTGCTCATTGAACCTTACAGGTAGTACTGAAGTCAGTAATGGAGTGACCAGGATTACCAGGAGGTGAAAATGCACCCACTTTTCCTGCATGGATGCAATGTTTTGTGGACCATTGGAGAGAAGATGGATTCATACATCTTGGACCACTGGAGAGAAGATCCAGGAATGTGTCAGTCTGGAAGCACCTGGAAGAGCTGCAGAGGTAAGATCCTGCACTCATGGACTCAGGAGGTTCTGGCTCCTCAGAACACTCAGAAGATTCTGGCTTTGCAGCAGGATTAAAGACATCAAGCAACAAGTCTGGGAGGATCAATGATGAGTGAGCTCCAATAGCATCACGGAAGATCTCCCACTCACTATTATGGAGGGATTTATGAAACCCCAACAAGGTTTACAGTTAATACCTGTGCAAAAAACTTATTTTCTTCTTTAAGCCAAAGGTGCCCTGAGTCTCTTCATCCTAAAGGTTACAGTGAAAGAAAATAGTGAATTACCCCCCTGAAGTCCTGGTCCAGTTCTGGGGCAGCAGCACAAGAGGGACGTGGAGCTGTTGGAGTGAGGCCAGAGGAGGCCATGGAGCTGCTGCGAGGGCTGGAGCAGCTCTGCTCTGGAGCCAGGCTGAGAGAGCTGGGCTGGGTGAGCCTGGAGAAGAGAAGGCTCCTGAAGGGGAGACCTGAGAGCAGCTCCAGTGCCTGAAGGGGCTGCAGGAAACCTGGAGAGGGGCTTGGGACAAAGGGTAATGGCTTGGAAGGGGCTTGGAGCAACCTGCTCTAGTGGAAGGTGTCCCCACCCATGGTAGGGGGGGTGGAACAGGATGAGCTTTAAGCTTTAACCATTCTGTGATCTGATTCTATGAAATACAGTGATGGATGTTTATTAATAAACTTGATTTTTATATGAATAAGATTTCTGTGCCCTTAAGCTTTACACTGCTGCCTAAACCAACTGTTTCTCAAAAAGCACCTCACCACAGCTAAAGACACCACAGGTCACCAGACTTCATGCACAGAATGTGCTGCCTACCTAGTGAATGTCACCTGGACCACAGAGGAGTTTGCATTGCTTAAGATCAGTTAATGGAAGGTCATAATCTGCCGAAGTTCTCCCAACACCCTGAAGTGACATTGCCCATCAGCATCACTGATTCCACACAAGAAGCAGGAGTGAAGAAAATTCCACATCTTTTAATTGTCTTCCTACATATCACAGACTGGTTTGGAAGGGACCTTAAAGCTCATCCAGTCCCAACCCCTGCCACGGGCAGGGACCCCTTCCACTAGAGCAGCTTGCTCCAAGCCCCTGGCCTTAAACACTGCCAGGGATGGGGCAGCCACAGCTTCTCTGGGCACCCTGTGCCAGCGCCTCAGCACCCTCACAAGGAAGAGCTTCTCCCTTATACCTAGCCTGAACTTCCCCTGTTTAGTCTGAACCCATCACCCCTCGTCTTATCGATACAGTCCCTGATGAAGAGTCCCTCTCTAAAATCTGCATTTCCTAGACTAGTCATTTACATTACATATCATCTAAGCATCATTTTCCTCCTCAGTGGACAAGGCTATTTTCTAACTCCTTATCAGCTTCCCAGCCCTTTCTATGGTTGAGATCTTCAAGTGAAACCCCAAAGAAAACCCTCTGATGATGAACAACTCCTTTTCCCCACCAGGTACAATGATCAGCGAGTGGCTGAACCCCTCTTACAGCAACACCCTCACAGAGATCAAGGACCTGACACAGTGATCTACTGACAGAGACACCAGCATCAGGCCAGAGTCCACATTACTTTGGCAGGACGCTGCACAGGTTCCTGGCAGAGGAAGGGGTGACAGAAGCAGGAGCTACAAGTGGAAACGGGAATGCTGGAGGGAGTTATAGGTGCCTCTCACAAGAGAGATTGCACTGGAATGCATTATCTGCTTGGCTGCAGCAGCAATTGCTTTCACAATGATGTTTCTCACGTAAAGAGAAGCCAGTTTCCATCAATGACAAGTTACTGGAGATGGTTTCAATGATTTAGGCTTAAAAAAGAATAATAAAAATCCCTTTTTAAAGACAGTAAATATTTCCCCAGATTTTAACTCCAAAACAGCTGAAATTCTTTTCTTCCCTTCCCAGTTTTCTGCCTTGAAATGCCATTTCTTCTCTTGCAGACAGAAAGTTCTAGCTTAGAATAGAGAGTTTCTGAGAAGGATGTTACTGCAGGAGATGCCTCATGCTGCAAAAGCCTTTGTGGAACTGCATCCACAAACACAGATGCTGTATAAACCCTGCACAACCAAACAGCCTCTTGAGGTCCACCACGGAAGGGACATTTCCATAGTTTGGAAGGCAGCCTAAGACAGCAAATCTGGCTTCTCCATGCTGGACAACAGCCAGTATGCTCCTGAACTGGCTGAACAGCATAAAGGGAATAAATGACCTTTGTACTGAGCAGGAATAGAATCACAGAATAGTTTGGGTTGGAAAAGAACTTAATCTCATCCAGTTCCCCCCCCTGCCATAGGCAGGGACCCCTTCCACTGGAGCAGCTTGCTCCAAGCCCCTGTGTCCAACCTGGCCTTGAACACTGCCAGGGATGGGGCAGCCACAGCTTCTCTGGGGACCCTGGGCCAGCGCCTCAGCATCCTCATAATGGAGAACTTCTTCCTTACATCCAGCCTAAATCTTCCCTGTTTAAGTTTGAACCAATTCACCTTTGTGTTATCACTACAGTCCTTAATGAAGAGTCGCTCTCTGGCGTTCCTCTAAGTCCATAAAAAGCCCTTCAAGTTTCCTTGCAGGTAGGATGCTATTCCTGCAGGAAATCCCAAGTTATTCTGGAAGAAACCCCACAATTACCCAGCATACTGTACCTTCCTTAGCTGGCTTTCATATTCTTCTCGGAGTTCCCCTGGTTTGCTTAATTTAATGGGTGCTCTGAATATAAAGTCTGGAAAGAGAAAGGGAGACAAAAAGGAATCAGGTTTTCGTGCACAGTGACTGGGAGAGTCCATCATTCCCAAAGGACAAGCTCTCCATGGCCTGCACAACCACGTATCTTTATATATCTGTATCTTTACATTATGACCATGCTATCAGAGCTCAGTTTAACATAGGAACATCAGGAGGAGGATGGCAAAGTAACACCATTTTGCACTGTCCTTTGGGATTCTCAAGAGGTCCTGACAAGCAACCAGGGGAGTATATTAGGAAGGTGTAAACACAGAGGTTAAGTAACAGCCCTAAGAGGTCACAGGGAATCCGAGGCCCAGAAATGAAACCAGGCTTAAAGCACCTCCTCCAGCCAGACACCCATGGAACACAGGCTGACAGCAGCAGCACAACACCCTGAATTCACACCCATGTTCTTCTCCCATTTAAATTAACTCATTGAAAACGTTCTATAGAATCACAGAATCATGGAATGGTTTGGGTTGGAAAGGAGCTTAAGATCATCCAGTTCCAACCCCCTGCTATGGGCAGGGACACAGTGTTTTCACTCCCCCTTCACAGCCATTTGGGTGCTGTCCCAGAGCAAGCACAGCTTTTATTCTGCTTTCATTTGTTCCGAGGTCAGTGATATGAAGGCAATAGGCTGCTCCATCCGGCAGGAATTCCCCATCCTGCTCCTGCTTCCTCCCTTCCCCCTCGGGAACTGAGAAAGCAAAAGCATCCTGGCACAGGGTTATAGTTTAACCTCCATCCCTGGAGTCTGTTACTCCCCAAATGACTCCCTTATGTCAGGCTCAAAGCTGCTGTGCAGTACAAGTCTGGGCAAGTTGCACTGCAGTCAGAGGAACTTGGAGGGAAAAGGGAACAACTCAAACAGAATCACAGGATCCCAGCCCTGTTTGGGCTGAAGGGTCCTTACAGCTCCTCCAGCTCCAACCCCTGCCACGGGCAGGGACCCCTTCCACTGGAGCAGCTTGCTCCAAGCCCCTGTGTCCAACCTGGCCTTGAACACTGCCAGGGATGGGGCAGCCACAGCTTCTCTGGGCACCCTGTGCCAGTGCCTCAGCACCCTCCCAGGGAAGAGCTTCTGCCTAAGAGCTCAGCTCAGTCTCCCCTCGGGCAGGTTAAAGCCATTCCCCTTGGCCTGTCCCTACATCCCTTGTCCCAAGCCCCCCTCCAGCTTTCCTGCAGCCCCTTCAGGCACTGGAGCTGCTCTCAGGTCTCCCCTTCAGGAGCCTTCTCTTCTCCAGGCTGCCCCAGCCCAGCTCTCTCAGCCTGGCTCTATAGACAACCACAGAACAACCATCCCGACTCAGCCCATATCAGTACTCCAGACAGGGTGCATCATCTCAACGTACTATGAGTGCAAGCAAGGAGGAAACACCAGTGGTATTCCCTTTCCCCAGCTCTATAAATTACAGGATATAAACCAGCAGCTCTGCCCCACGTTTTATTTAGGAAGTGTTTTATTCCTCAATAACACTGGTCCAGAATGAAAGGTTGATGGTAGGATAAGTAAATCAAACCCCCAAGGGCTGGTGGCTGTCCCATGGGCATCTTCTGGCTCCTGGCCACATTTATAGTCTGTTCCAACCTAGCTGATTCTGTGATCTGCCTCCTCCTTGGGACAGTCCCAACCCTGCTGCTAAACATGCCCAAACATGCCCTTTAAAGACTGACTAAACCCTCCTTGCACCTCCTGCTTTCCACAGGTTTGGTTTTAAGGTTCCTAGAGGAAAGCCCCCCAACTTCAGTCCCTCCTCACCAGTGTGAATGCAAACTCTGGAGCTTCCTGCTCAAGGAATTATGGAGAGAGAATGCTGCCAAGGCCAGAGCTGAACAAATCACAGCGTATTTCTTTCATACTTGCTTTAAAAGGGGAAAACCCACTCTTGTAATCAAATATGAGCCATACAGATGTAAGGCTTTGTTCTAAAGAGCTGCCAGTCCCTCTCCCTCACACGCCTGCATGAGCTAAGCTTGTCTTTGAAGGAAAACATCCCAAATATCCTCACATGTGCAATATAAATCCCGAGCGGTGGCGATGCTGGGGAGGCCAGGCTGCATTCCTCCCTCCTGCTTCTGCAACTGCTCCTGCTGGAAACCTTCCACCAGCTTCTCACAGCGTGTTTGCCTTGTGTCCTTGAGCAGTTCCCAGCTCTTGGAGGATTTTATCAAGCTGAATGTCCAGGGAGGCAGTCCCAAGGGCAGCAGCAATGTGTAATATGCCTGCAGCCAACTTCAGTTACTCCTGAACATTTAAGGCTTGTCTCAGACCTTATCTCCATGCCTAAAAAGGTGTATTTCTTCCCTCCAGGGTAATAAAAGCATTTTTGACTAACCCTAGGGAAACATGCTGTGGTAAAGACAAGCCACATCAACTGTTTCATTGCTTACACAGGTTCAGCAAGCCAGAAGAGATGTTAACTAATGGAACCATGAAGCTGGGCTGGTTTAGCTGATGTGGTCCAACACCAGACACATACAATGGTTACTTATAGCATCATCATGCACCAAATTGTATTTTACAGAGGAGTCAATGGAGATGAGACCTCAAATGCTGCGTTGAATGAATGGTCCAAGAATGAGACCTGGGCTGTATCCCAGAGCGCGAGCAGCTGGTCCAGGGAGGGGATCCTGCCCCTCTGCTGCACTCTGGGGACAACTCCCCCCCCGCAGCCCTGATCCAGCTCTGGGGCAGCAGCACGAGAGGGACGTGGAGCTGTTGGAGTGAGGCCAGAGGAGACCATGGAGCTGCTGCAAGGGCTGGAGCAGCTCTGCTCTGGAGCCAGGCTGAGAGAGCTGGGCTGGGGCAGCCTGGAGAAGAGAAGGCTCCTGAAGGGGAGACCTGAGAGCAGCTCCAGTGCCTGAAGGGGCTGCAGGAAAGCTGAAGAGGGGCTTGGGACAAGGACCTGTAGGGCCAGGCCAAGGGGAATGGCTTGAACCTGCCCGAGGGGAGACTGAGCTGAGCTCTTAGGCAGAAGCTCTTCCCTGGGAGGGTGCTGAGGCGCTGGCACAGGGTGCCCAGAGAAGCTGTGGCTGCCCCATCCCTGGCAGTGTTCAAGGCCAGGTTGGACACAGGGCTTGGAGCAAGCTGCTCTAGTGGAAGGGGTCCCTGCCTGTGGAAGGGGTCCCTGCCCATGGCAGGGGGCTGGAACTGGAGGAGCTTTAAGGTCCCTCCAATCCAAACCAGTCTGTGACTCTGTAACTGTAGATCTACGTTTACAACACCCCATTATGGTTTCTGGGGTAGGGCGATGCTGCACAGTGGCTGCCCCCAGCCAAGGATGCTTCTATCAGCACAGAAGCACCACAAATGGAACCAGACTGGGTGGTTCCAGAGCATCTGATGCATTCCAGAGCATCCAGATGCTCTCATGATCAGAGCATCACACACATTCTTCCCTGCTCTAATTCTGGATGTTCAGGTCCAGGACAGGGCAGCTCAGCTGTTTCAATGTGTGCTACAGCTGAGAACAACAACAAAATGGGTAAGATGATGGAACAAAAAGCCTTTTACTTGATTTTGACCAAAACTCCAGCTTATTCTTCCTCTTGAGTGATCTGGGGGTCAACAGGAATGGTTTCTGAATGACGCTGACTTTGAAGGGCTGTTGGGAAGCCTGGCACTGAGATGCTCCTTCTGAGCACGGTGATAACACCGAAACAGTCACAGCAGCAGGATCAAACCCAGCATCCTGCTCCTTTGTGCTGGCAGGCAAGAGTCTCATCCCATTGTGTTCAATCTTGGAAAAAACAACTGATTTCTGCACTATTTGAGAAGACAAAAGGGTTTCTGATTACTTAACACTGGTTCTCTTTACAAGAGGCATTTGACTCGAGCTTCAAGCCCCTCGAATGACTCCATCTTTTCAACATTACACAGAAATGTGTTACACTCTGTGCGTACATTACACACTGTCACCATTAATCCTCACTCCTGACCAGCAGATTTTATACTGGCAAAAGCTTCAGGAACATCCATCTGCTGAATTCAACAACACAGGATGAATAACTAAATTGAACTCGATTCAGAAACCCTTTGGTTCCCTGTCTGTTGCTCAGAGGCTCCTGGGCTTTGCCAAACCAATGCCATGGGGCAAGTTGAAGCTCTGCCATGCACAGCAGTGAATCCTCATCCATGATCCAAGGAATCTTGCAGCAAACTTTGCAGCTTCCTTGTCCCTTTTATTCCTGACAGGGATAATCAAAACCTTGAGGTTTTCGCTGTCTTTCCTTTTAACTTCCAGCAGTTGCTGTTTATACTTGAAGATGAGATCTTGAGGCTTGCAAAGCACAAAAGAAGGAGTCGGAAGTTTTCTGTCTACGGAGAGGGTTGGAAACAGTTTTCCAACCAGTTTCTCTAGCTGCTTTGAAAGAACATTAAATTAACATGAAGATGTGGCAACGGTGCACTGGGGCATGTTTGGAAACAAGGATAATTCAGCCATAAATCATAAGTGGAAGAATCAATAACGTAGAAGCTGCAGGAAAACTCTGAGCTGTCACACCCTGCTAGGAGAACGCACAGTGTATACCAGACCCCTTCCCCTGCCCTGCTGTGGGCATCTGTGGTGCAACAAACAGGAGATGAGACCTAAGCCAAGCTAGGACTCATCTACTGAAAACATAAATGCAACCCTCCAAAAAGTTTTGGTTTTTCATCCCAAACCAGCTCCCATAATGTAACAGGCTCCAGACCACTTCTCATGCAGAGACAAATGGGACAAAAATAGACTGAATCCAGTTTTGAGCCTGGAGTTCCAGCTGAAGCAGAAGATGACACTAAAAAAATGTTAATGTGGTAGATAGCTATCAACATGCTGTCATTTCTCCCCCACGTGCTTCACCCTAAATAGACTAGTACCAATGATTGCAATGATCTCCCCAAGACAAGTCTGCCCAACAGATTTTCACAGAATCACGGAATGGGTTGGGTTGGAATGGACCTTAAAGCTCCTCCAGCTCCAACCCCTGCCACGGGCAGGGACCCCTTCC